TACATTCGAACAAATGTTGTGGGGATAAGTGAAAATACGGCACTATAACGGATTTATATCTGGTATTATATTTATTTTGAACAGTATAACTGGAAATGTTTTTCTTGGCAAAAAGTAAGCATTCATAAATGAATTGATTAGTCACAGTCAATATACCTAGTTTTTTGAATAGTGGACGACAACTTTCATCAAGTTTTGAATTTGTTATTACTCTTATTGCCCTTTTTTGCATTATGAGAATTTTATCAACATGTGCCGATCCACCCAATAAGAGAATTCCGTAGGACATGGTACTGTGAAAGAGACCGTGGTAGGCTGTGAGAACAACACTTTCATTTACAATATCTTTGATATTCCTTAAGAGACAGATGGAGGTAGCTAATTTATTTCTCAGATTGGTTATGTGAGCCTCCCATGTCAGCTTACAATCTAATGTTAGTCCCAGGCATTTTACCGGCAAATTGTCCTCCAGGGTTAAGTTGTAATTCAGAGTAAAGAGTAACGTTTTTGTTTTATCATTATTTAGACACAATCTTACATTCGTGAAATATTCCTGAGCACTTTTGAGGCTGTATGATTCAATATTCTGAAACTAGTAATGAATATCTTGAAACTAGTAATGTGGTATCATCAGCATATTCAACATGTTTTGACGATAAGAAATGAGTTATGTCATTAACATAAATAATAAATAGTATGGGACCTAAGATTGAACCCTGGGGAACCCCCCATGTAATTTCCCTTTTGGATGATACCTTTCCGTTTGAGGAAGTACACTGATATCTTCCTGTAAGGTAACTCTGAATGAATGAAAAAGCATTTCCTCTGACACCATAACTTTCCAATTTCATTAAAAGAATTTCAAGTGACACACAATCAAAAGCTTTGGAAAGGTCCAAAAAAGATGCTACTGTCACATTTCCTTTCTCAAATTCATCTGTGATGTGAATAATCATATCTACAAGTGCAGTTATAGTAGACCACCAACATGATACAAGAAATAAATCAAACCTTGTTCCTACAGCTAATATGTTGAAAACAACAGATAATATAGGAATTAGGCTATACAATGCCTTATCTGTCGAACTTTGTAACTTGCCATTCAGAAGACTCAAAAACTTATTGAAGAAAATATTAACCAAACATCCTTTATATGAAATTGATCAATTTTTCGAAGTTGTTCAAGAAGAAAGAGACACTTTTGTGGTCACCTCACGAACTTTTACTCAACTTTGATTGTATATAATATGTCAGATATGTAATTTATAATTTGTAAAGCTCATGGCTTTACATTTCAGTCAATTTTTATACGATTGGAATTTTATCTTGTTAACTTGTATTTTTTTGCAACTCTAATTTATCTACAAGCAGTTTTTAGAAACTATATCGACGAATCTTATCCTCTCAAACCTATTTTAGAAATTGTATTGACGCGTCTAAAAACTGTGTGTTTCTTGAGACTGATAAAATTATTATTATTATGATTATGCTAATTTTATTAATATGTTTGTGTTGTCTTGTGTAAATACTGATCAATGTATAAAACACTAACGAATTATCTATCCTATCTATCTATCTAACTGAATGTACACCAAATAAGTTTTTTAATGTGTAGATACGTATATTATAGTTTTATTTTTACCGATATTCTTAATTTTTTTCGATTGTTGTCTATGAAACGCGAAATTTTTATATTCTCATGACTGTCAACGACTTTTCTGACCTGCCAATTGCACTCTGTATGTAAATATGGCCAATAAATACTACTACTTTGAATGCATACAAGTTGCCGCAGCCACAATGTTTGTCCAAGGAAAATTCAACAGTAAATTCCATCTTCAAAAAGCTCTACTGCAAGCTCGTCGAGGCAGAAACCATACGCATCATATAACGAACAATAAAAGCGCCCTCTCTCCCAGAACACGTATGTACTTACAAAAATATAACAATGTTTTCTCAGAAAATAATTTTTACTAATAACTCAAAAAATGTGATTCACCTAGTAGACGATGGTCTTCCATCGGGTCTGTCGACTCTCTCTATGCGGGGGGGACTCCCAAAATGCAAGTAAACCTCGTAGTAGCCACCATTCGAGTCATTCAAGCACTCGTTGCAGAACCACTGGCCGGTGGGCACTTCTTCCAGAGGCGGCGTCAGACAGTACAAGTGGAACCCCAAGTCGCACCCGTCGCAGAGCAACATCCTGTCTTCGTTTTCGTACGACCCACATATCTCGCAAAAAGTCGGGTCTTCGACAATATCGAGCTCTGCCTGCAAGGAAGGCGCCGATATCGGAACCTGTCTCGTCACTTTGCCATTCAGTGTTTGGCGGACAAGTATCAAATTGTATTTCTGCCTGTCTATCGGGCAAGTGTTCATGTTCTTTGACCATTCCTGTATACACTCGAGGCAGAAAGTGTGGTCGCACGACTCGGGAGAACCGATTTCCTGCGTTTTGAAGGAAACCAAACAGATGGGACATTTTTCAGACTGCCCGTCGCTGAAGTCAGAGTCGATATTTGTTTCCTGGGCGGGTCTCGCTCCGCTGGTTTCAGGTTCAACTGGCTGTTCGTGTCCTGTGTTGGAAAAATCCGATTCCCACTGGCTACTAGTGCTACCTCCCAAGCCCCAGTCTGATTCATTTTCCGAGTCGCTTTCCAACCTCCTTGGGCCAGTCAACCTCCTGGTAACGGCTTCATCAGAGCTGTCGGAATCTGAGCTGCTCGATACTCTCTAAAAATGAAAATTGATGGTATTTATTCAAAAGTAAAGTACAAATAAAAACTGTTGATGAAAATAAATAATACAGTATTGATACACATTAACACCAATTAGGCCATACATATGGCCACACACTTTTTAGACACATCAATACAATTTTAAGAATAGGATTGAGAATATAATTATGCTGAACGAAAAATACAAATCGAATATAAGTTGATTTTATAGTGAAAATGTTGTTAAAATTGAAGTCTGTTCAAAAAAAAAGGTGATGTGAACCAAAGTAATTATCTTGGAAGATATTCGCCGCTTGCGAGAAACAATACGAAGAAAACATCCGGTATTGTAGAAAAACAATTCATGGCCTTTGCATCATGGCATCACTATAATGCTCCTGTTCACTGGCCATTTCTTGTTCGTAATTTTTTGGCCAAAACAACACCGTAATCATCCTTCAGCCATCATATTCATCAGATTTGCCCCCCTGCGACTTTTTCTTGTTCCCAAGTTTGAAGAGACCCACGAAAAATTAGAGTGTACAGAAATAACTTTTTGTGACATAACTCGAATGTACTTATAAGATATAAATGTTTTTTTATAAAAAGACTTCATATCTTACACTAATTCATAAAATAATCAATGGTCGCATCAATTCCCCGGAACTTGTCGAACTTATAACTTCAAATGTGAATCCAAGGGGAATAAGAAATTCGGAAATCTTCAAAGTACCTTTTTGTCGCACCAACTATGGCCGGAATAAATCTGTAGGTGAAATTTTGAGACTTCCAATTACATATAATGTAGATTTAGAATGTTTTAATTCTCCTTTGGAAACATTCAAAAAGACTGAAAACATTGTTAATTCAACAATCAACATGTATAGACAAAAATTATTTTGAATCCAATAAATCATTTTCAACGAAAAAGAGAGCTTCATAATTAGTAACCCTCCAAGTCCCCTCTTTGCTGAAATTTTTATGGCCAACTCCGAAGAAACTATTCAACAACATTCAATTTTACAGCTCGCTTCACAGGAACAATATATCAACTCTATTCACAAAAACATAAAATTTAAAAATAGAACTAGAAATGAATAATTCCATGAACTTCCAACACCTCATGATCACCAAAATTTACCACAAAGCAACCCTTACAAACACGGCTATCAACAACCACTAGCTATTGAAATCTGTTGGGCCCAAAAGTTTATATAGGAAAAACGTCTAGAAGTTTCACAACGAGAATTGCAGAACACTGAAGAAGTTGTGAACTAAAGCAGACCATTGCTTTTTATGCTTACTACCTTTTAGAGAACAATCAAGATTTTACCATGAATTATGATGTATTACATAAACATTGAAACTGCTGGAATGAATTCCTGGAAATCAATTAGGGACCAAGAAGAAGTAAATCACTCATCATTAGTTATTTTACCTGCTTACCTAGAATTAATACTATTTGGTAATTACTTCTACAAAATCTACCTGTTTACCTAGAATTACCATTACAAATTAAGTTCTGTAACAACTGTTATATAAAATGCATTGTAGTTTAATCTACCATTCGACTGAAGAAGTAACTTCGAATGCTCCCAAATTCTTATACTGTTTAAAGGTGAAATCTCAGTTGGAGTATGATCATCTGGAGTCCATATTATGAAAACCATAAAATACAAATTGAAGCAAAATACATTCCGAAGGATTTGTGCATTTGAAATGTGTCTGAGAGGAAAGGACTATTCGTATTAGTATAAATATTCAACAGCAAAGATTTTTAAAATATCATTACATTCAACTAATGCTGTCACTGACAGCATTAACCAATATATAATTCGTAATCTATCTATTTAAAACCCTACTGTGTAACTTTAATAACGATTTTTGTTTATTTTGATATATCATTTGTACCCCATACGATTTTTATTGAAATATGTGATGAAACCATATAGAATGAATGGAAAATGGATTGACATTTTGTGTGCATTTGTGGAAAGAATAATTTCAACTATTCCCTAAAAATCATTGCTTTTTCTTGTATTACATACTACCATCATAAGTTGAAGTAACAAAATAAAAATATGAAAATAAAATGTAATTTTCTGGCAAGTTGAACAGGTGTCTATTATTATTCAACTATACTAGGACATGGAAAAAGAACAATGCATTTTCTCTTAATCACGGCAAGTTTTCCATACCACAATTTTCTTCCTGTGTCTGTGCAGAATAGGACTTCCACTGTCATCAGAGTCAGCAAGAGGCCTCGTCGATCGAATACGTTGCCGACGTGAACTTGAGGAGTTTGCTATTATGGGGCTACCGCTAGAAGTGCTACTGGGGCTACCTCTTATCGGCCGAGTTTTTCTTTTGCGTTTATGTTGAGGTCCGGCATCACTTTCGTCACTACTACTCATTTTTACGCTAAAGCTATACTTACAAGCTTCAAATCAAAAAAAAACTTAAGAGAGAATTATAAACATCTGTGGTGTTAATTTTATGCTAAAATATTAAAACTTATTATAATCCAAGTGTTTATTGGGATGATGGTCATTTGAAGATATTCATCCTAAACTTCACTAAATTTCTGGCATCTACGAAGAAGCCATCTTTGACATCTTTTATCTACTTTAGAACAGAAGAAGACGTACAATCTACGACAGAACGACAAAATGAGTACTACGAGTCGTAGAGAGCCTCGTAGCTAGAGCTTGCGCACTTTAAACAATAGATGTCATTGACATTTAAAAATATCCAGTGAACTCTATATTACGTACGTATAATATACATTTCACATAAAATATTGGACACGCGATGACAATTGACAAGTGCTAAGTTTATTGAGGTGCATTCCAATAGTTCGTTATATATCTAAAATTTATTAACTGTAAACCTGTGAAAATAGCAATCGATATTTCACTAGTCACTGTTGACTTTTCGATTGAATGAGAGTCAAAATTTGTCGAATCTAAGTTACCAAAGTTTCACGGGAAAATACATAAATTATAGACACAATTTAAAAAATTTGGAGCGTGATTACTGATAGCTGGTACGTAACTTCAAGCATTTTTTTGAAAACGTGTGTACTTCAGTTTCGTAATTTTCAGAGTCTTATTCATTTTGAACACTTCATTGAGATTTATTGAATTTCCTCAAATGCCAGCCCCATTCATTGGTCGTTGTTCAATGAACATTTTTTAAAACTGACTCCAGTCATAATGAATTGTCAATAATAATATATTCTGATCAACAATAACAAATAAAATAATCCTTCGAAAAACTCGAATAACTCAAGTTTGCAAATTACAGTTTGATTTGTGATTCCAAGGAATTTTGACAACTTCCTGGGGTTTATATACAATTTAGAATCGAAATTGAGAAATGTTCACTCAGCTTACTCCTTCGAGATCAACATAACGCAAAAGAAATATTCTGTTTCATAGTTTCCTGATTTGTATTACTTTCTTCTTTAAAATATGTTTCTGTGATCTGTGATTTCATTTTTCAGTTTGGCAACATTGAAGCTCGTAGCAATTTGAGGGTTGTTCTTTTAACGTAGCTCCATTTGTCGGGAATAGCGTGTTTTCAATTTTTCATTTAAAAATGGGTCGAATGCACGCACCTGGGTGAGTTTTCTTTTCATTACATTATAATAACTGAAATTTGAAAATATTGAAATTAATATTTGCATGGGAAACGAGTATTTGTGTACTCGAGGTTCGAAAACGCCGCGGGGTTATGTTTCCTCGTGGCCGTGTCATTGGAACTAATTGTAGAGCACAGTGTTCAATGTAATATTTTTCTGTTTCAGCAAGGGTATAGCCCAATCGGCTTTACCTTATAGACGAAGCGTACCTACCTGGTTGAAAGTTACACCAGAAGAAGTAAAAGAGCATATATTCAAACTTGGCAAAAAAGGATTGACTCCATCACAGATTGGTGAGTATTGAGGAAGAGTATATTACCGTAATTGTGTTTGTTGGAAAGAAAAGTGAATTTATACACGCTCAGTATCAATTTATGCTTTTTATTAGATTATGCTCTGTTATGCTAACACCAAATTGTAAATTCAAACAGCAGTGATCAAAAACTAATGACTGTTTAACACACCAACAACTTAATTCTTTACCTTGAGAAAGTTATAATCAGTAACTGATTCACATTGTAACAACTCGAAGAGAAAGTTTGTATATGAATCAGCCGTAAACTAATACAAATCTAACATAATGTTATTTGGAAACAATTCACCATTTTCTCAAGATATCAAAATCACTTTTGATAGTCACCAATTAGCTCTTGCAGAACATATCAAGATAGACTGTAATTAAAGATTGGAAAAAACATAAATTTACATGTTCAGACATCTTATTTCTCCCTGAAAACATACGAAGTCAGGCATTATTTAACGAAGGATATAAAACTACTTCTGTGTGACTAGTTGAAATTGTTTATTTTTAAATTTGCCCACTGCGTTTACGACCCTAATTTATACAGGATAAACCCCATTACAATGTAAAATAGGAAGCTACGGAATGTTTGTGATTCTAACTTAGACACCACTAGAGCTAAATAGTTACTTTTTAATGCTTCAATGGACAAATCCTGAACAATGATGTGAAATAAGACCTAGTGTTTTGGATGATTTCACACTCATTTGGTTAATAGGTTTACAAATCTAAGTTGTTCATCAAAAATTGCCCCTAAACTTTTATAGACGATGATGTGCATTCTAAGTCTGACCATTTATCTTGTATGATGAATTTCCTACCAACTCTTGAGAAGGTAATAAAATGGTATTTATTAACAAACAAGTTATTTGTAAAACACCATTCATAAACTTTATCAAGATCATCTTGAAGGAGAGTTTGGTCATTGTATGACTTTATCGGTCTGAAAAGCTTTAGGTCATCAAAAAAATATTGAATAACGGGTGAACAATGTGACCCTTGTGGCACTCTATGTATTACTAATATGTCACTTGATTTGCATCCCCCGATGTTAACCTGTTGTGAACGACCTGTCAAAAAACTACCAAACCACTCTACCAAATGTTTTGTAAAACCAAAATTTCCGATTTTCTTTAATAGTATATTGCGATTTACTCCGTCATATCCCTTGGAAAAGTCAGTGTGTATATAATATCAAAAGTACAAAAAGTTCAAAACTCTTGCCTAGACGCGAAAGAGTTGAATGTGGATGGTTGAATATGGAGAAGAGAAGACTTTTTCATGATGTTTGTTACACAAAATTATAATTACAAAAAAACCTTCCCCTATTTGCATTCTAAATCATAATTTACTCTGATATTCATAATGTAAAAGGAAAATTCAGAGGTACAATAATGCCACCAAACTATGAAACTTTCAAATGTTGTTTTTCACATCAAATATGCACCATTTGCAACTCTTTATTTCTGGAACAAAAATTCAAATTGAAATACAAGAAAGAAATATCTTTTTGGCCAATCCTAACTAGTTCAACTATATTTTGTTTTTTTTTTTGAGGTCATTGGGAGGGCATGTCATGTCATCCACATTCAGTTCAAATACAAAAATAAAATGACTAGAAGTTTTTTGTAGGTTATGTTTTACACATCATGCTTGCTTATTCACATCAACATATATCTGATTCTCATTAAATGATGTATTTTTTTTAATCTGTTCTAAGACCCGCAAACACGCCACGAAAGTATTGAAAGTCGTAGAGAGAATTTCGACCAATCATTGAATTTACTATTCATACAAATAAAACAAGCTACACTTCTGTGGGTTTCCTCTAATATAAAAAGAAAGCAGTATGAAATTTGAATTATGCTAGAAACACTTCTCAGTTTGTATTCCAAATATTCATTATGGAATTGAATCAGATATCATTCACAGGATTCCTACACAATATAATTCATGGAAGAGGTAAAGTTTTACTAATGTGGAACACCGTCATAATCAGTGGCCCACATTTATTTGCTTATTTGATTTAATACCAGCTTTAGGAATCTTGTTTAAATTAAATCAAATTACCTATACCAAATTCGTATAGGTTTTATAATAATTGTAACTGCTTTGTCTATAACAATTATTTTCTTTCTGGCAAAGTATTCTCATTTAAAATACTTTTTCTTGTGTAGTTTTGAAGAGAAATCGAAGTAAACTTGTAATCAACAAAGTTGCCCATCACATGAAAAAATTCAAACTTTATTCTGAATTTTGGAAATAATTTCCTTTGCATCTTGAAAAAATTGATGGTAACAATATCAAAAACTGTCACAGTTATCCAAACTGTCCTAATTACTCCAAGAAATCACATTTTTTTGGGTTTCTAAAATAAGTCAAAGCACAGCCACGGCTAATTATTGTATATCACGTTTTAACTTTCAGGTGTAATTCTTAGGGATTCTTATGGAGTCGCCCAAGTGAGATTTGTTTCTGGAAACAAAATCTTGCGCCTCATGAAAGCTATGGGTTTGGCCCCCGATCTGCCCGAAGATTTATATTACCTGATCAAGAAAGCAGTGGCTATACGTAAGCATTTGGAAAGGAACAGAAAGGACAAGGACAGCAAGTTCCGCTTGATTTTGGTTGAATCACGTATCCACCGATTGGCAAGATACTACAAGACCAAGAGCGTGCTAGCACCAAACTGGAAATACGAATCCAGCACAGCATCAGCTTTGGTTGCTTAAGCTAGAAATAATTTGTTATAAATAATAAAAAAAAAAACATTTACATTTTTGTTTTACTCTTAACTGTCCTTTCAAAGTGTCATGCATTTTGTACAATGTCATGGAAATTAAATTTTGACAATTTATTTAAAAAATGTTATATACTTGTTTGTTCCAACCAAGTTCCATAAAGACACGCTCAATACATAGTTTCACTTGTCGGGTACACCTCAGGGTACAGTTTCAGGGCCAGTTGTGATTGGGAGATACAGAAATGTTTTCCATACTCTTGGCCACGATTTCATTATACAATTAGGAAGTCAATTTTACCAACTCTTTGGGGAAAAAGTTTTTGAACGTATACTTCACATTAATAATTCCTTTTTTATTCATTTAGTTTATACAGAGCTCCCGCTTCTGATATGGATGCTTTCAACCTGAGTTGAGTGTTTTTTTTGAACTCTCGTAACTTTCAGCTAATATTAACAGTAGATTTTAATATTAATTTTGAGGAGTAATGTTCGGAATGCATATACAACACATGCTCTGGTAAGAACTGCGATATTCATCGTCGTTTTGGAGCCTTGCTGGTAAGAACTAATCTCGAATTGACCTTTATTAAGTGATGCGATCCCATTGTTGCCAACTGCGGTAGAATAATGACGTTTGCTAATGAATAAATAACCTATCTTTGTGAGTTCCTTCTGCATTTTCATCTTTGCTAAATGAGAAACTAATTTCCAGAATATGTCTGAAAAGAGATTTCCAGTCGTCCTATATGAAGTTGGGGCTCCAGAATGAAGAATCAGCTATAAAGAAATATTAGATGGTGTGTCCCAAAAATGAAAATGCAGAAGAAACTCAGAAAGATAGGTTATTTATTCATTAGCAAATGTCATTATTCTACCGCAGTTGGCAACCAAGGGGTCGCATCACTTAATAAAGTCAATTTGTATTGAAAAAATACACTTTGATGTCAGATTTCCACTTGGTAGTTCACAAAACTGTGACACGTGTTACAACAGTATCTTCGGACGTCACAGAATCCCTGTTCTATTATATTTTCGAATTCGTCCTTGAAACTTTTGTGTTATTAATTAATAATTATACTCGACATGAAATTTAGCCAATTTTTCTTCATTCATCCCAGTGCAACCAGTTATCTTAAATAAAGCGTTTTATTCTATTTTCTGGTGATTCTTGTCACCTCTGATGAGCCGATGTTCAAACTGAGAATATTTGGAATCGATTTAAGGAATGTGACATTTGACATTCTCCAATGTTTGTGTCACAGAACACTAAGCAATTGAGAAATGAAACTGTTTTTTTACCACTTTTTTCGTAACTATACTGTTTCGTCCGTAATATTGGTAACAAACAAAAGTAGTTTATCGTAATTGTTTGAAAATGTCCTCATAGTACGAAACTGCAGTAACATTACTCACAAATAAAAGTGCTAAAAAACAAAGTTTATTTTTCATTATGATCTCCTACCACCTAGTAACGGCTACATCCATCAATTCATCACTAAGCAATTGTCAGTAACCTACATGTCCATAAGTTTTTTTATCTAGCTCGGTGGTGGCACAAAGAAGGTACGTGGAAGCCATGTGCTATCGTGGGGCTACTTTTTGTATAATGAATGTCCGTTATGAAAGTATATATGTGTGGAGTGAACGTATTATCAAATGTGAAGTGATGGTACCTTTTAATTACGCCGGTATCCAGGCCGGCGCGGCGGTTCTGATATCCATTTAATGTTTTTAAACAAACAGAAAATGACTGAAAAAACTAGGGGTGGCAGCATTGCCTTGAGCAAGACCTCTGCACCCATCCAAGAAAACTCCCGTCAACTGTTGTCAGAAAGACAGTCCACCTGATATACGAAAAAAAAAATCGTTCATTATCAGTGAAAGTTAACTTTAGTTTCATATACGACTCCTGTAAAAATATATGTAACACTAATAACAAAAAAAGTAATTTATTGAACTCTAATTCATTACAATATATTATATTCAAGCCTAATCGTTATAGTGCTGCTGTACGCTTTTCCACTTTTCAACCAGCTGTGAAACCCCTTTTTTCTTCATTGATAACCCAGGTGCTAATTTTACCTAAAACCAAGCAAATGAGTGTGAGCTTACATCAACTAAAAAAAAAAAGAAACAAACCTTGGATTTCTTCTTTCTCTTTGAAGTATCAGTGGTAGTTTCCACGGGTGCAGTTTCCGAAGGGATCGGTTCATTAGGAGGGGAGGGGGGAAGTAGAGGGGATGAGACTTGCGGATCTATCGCCGCAACCTCTGAATAGAAGGAGTCCAACGCCGAGTTCAAAGGGTCTACGTCTTGTGCTACCTGGTTCTGAGAAGAAAAAAAAATCATGTCTTTCCACTGTCAAAATATCGTGGTTTGAAAGCCACTACGAGCAGCATGGTCTATGGTATGACACGCAGATACTGAGACTAATCAGATTTTCTTTCAGCAAGTTCACCGCAGAACAACTCGACCGCGATCCAATTATCCTTAGATTCACTGAGGAATGCCCGACGCTAATAGCAATAGCCGCCGGTTACTTTTTGGGCGCCCTCATGCAAAAATTCAGTTAGGAATAGTCAGACAAATCACTTTTTACCGATCGCGAAAGAATAGCACCTGAAGGCTGACTTTCGGCCAAAAGAGGTCAGATGTCAATCTTGCTGAAGTGCCCATCAGTAAGTTGAGGACCGCTCGGAGAGCGTGGGTAGTAGGTTCTCCTTGCTAAATAGCTGGGGGGGGAAGCTTCTACTTCAACACGCTCACAACGCCTTGGATTCCCCGTGGAGGATCCAGAAAGATACCCAGGAAAAAGCTCCCCTTTTCCGCAGCTAGATTCCTGGGAGCAATGGAAGACCCGCCGGAGCCGATCCAGGATATCCCAGAGGGATTCCCACTGAGAATCAGATAGCGGACAGCGGATAGCAGCGTCCTGGAAAAACCCGAAATACGAAGAGTTTCACCCGGCCAAAAAACCGTACCCAAAAAGTACCAACACCACGACCTCTGCAATGGACCCGGACCATACGGACCAACGGAACAAACTATATGAACAAGCGGAATACAAAAACAACACAACACAGACTCCAACACACAACAAAACACACACACATACAACACACTTACCCTGAAGAGGCATTAGTGCCATTAAGAGAGGCATAGTTACGACCGCACCGGGGGGCCGGTTACGCCCCCCAGACGCACCCTGGCGTTGAATGCGATTGGGTGTGGAGGGGTGGATTTTCGGGAAATCCTTGCGGGTACCGCCCCTCACCCCACACCAACAGGATTTCGCAGGGCTTCCTCCCGCTCACCGAACCCGGAATTGCATCCTTACATCTACTTAGTGTGGCTAACCAAGAGACAGGACCATCGGCAGCGTTCGACCGAACGTTCGTACAAGTTAACTAAGCTCTTCTTTCGCCAGAGAGTGCTCGCGTCGCACACCTGCCCCCGCCAACCATGCCAAATCAATTGGAAATATGGTCCCGGAAGTGGCCGGTCGGGGTCCTAAGCTCGGATACTAGTAGCTCCGTCCAACCGGGGTCCGACACCTCAAGCGTCTGCCTTGGTGCCCTCCAAGACTAGACTCGGATACTAGAGCCCGGAAGGACCACGAGCCCCGACACCTCGAACGCTCGGATCCGTACAGAGGCAGGCGAGGATCACGGAACAGCATAAGCCGTCCAGTGCCTCAGAATGGGGCTGCAATGCACCCATGAATGGATTACCGCAACCCCGTATCCCTTTACCCGCTAGCGGAGCCGCTGCCCCTAAGAGGCCAACGCCAGTTGGAGATGAGGCTCGCTAGCCTCCAGCCGCGAGCGGGCACTCACCTCCCCCCTAGAACTCATGTTAGGAAAGTTCCCTTTCCAACGTTTGATGAGTAACCGTCGAGGACTCTTTCGAGCATCCTCTACCATACATCATATGTCGAAGATGTCGCGCCCATTACCCGTGTAGGTGCGGGATAGGGCGGTTCATCAACAACTTTTGGGTGTACGCCGTGTGGTCTGCACCGCATACCCTTACGTTACCCCGAGAGGCAATCATGTTAGGAAAGTTATCTTTCCAGCGTTGGATGAGTAAACGCCGAGGGCTCTTGCGAGACACATCTCCCACACATCTAGCTTGAAACCGGCCAACGCCTGTTACCCGCAGGTGCGGGATTGGGTGGTTGACCGGTAACTTTACTGGGTGAGTGCCGTGTGGTCTGCACCGGGGGATTGTCAAACACCCATAAGAGAGAGACAGTGATCCCCCGCCACTCACCAAAAATTTGAATAAACGATTTTCATTCATTCATTTCTCTTATGTAGTTTACCCTTCTTATTTGATCAACTTCAAACGTGTATTTCATCAAGTCGGGTTTTGATGATAAATGTGTGCAGGCTTAGCTTGTAGCTTCTTAGAATGGGCAGGTGAGAGAATGTCAATTTCGGCAACTTTGGCTAAAGTTGAATCAGCTTTTCATTAGCATCTAACCACAAACTAACAGAAAAAACATATGAATCAAAAAAATTATACTCACTTGTGGCAAAGACCCTTCAGAAGAGGCTGTTTCTGGCAAGTCGACTCCAGGAGGTAACGGTTCTCCGAGATCAGACAATTTCGTAGGAAGAGCTGGCTGCACTTGAACAGATTGCTCTGAAATAAAAAAAGTGGATATGTTTATATTATTTTCAATATCCAACAGTGGCAGGAAGATTGATTTTCCATATGAAGAAGAAACACATTTTCAGAAACGTTGCAAATAGTCTCAGTCGGAAATAAAACTCCAAAGCCCCATTAGGTCACTTGTGAAGTTCCTCAAGGTTCCATTTCTGGTCCATCTTCGTTCCTGATATACAAAAATGATCTCTCGTATGTAGGAGCGTGGTGTCATCCGCAAAGATCGTAAAAATTCCTTGAAATAAGTAACAAGGTCATTCACATATATAAGGAAAAGAATCGGGCCCAGTACTGATCCTTGTGGAACGCCCCACAATATATCCTTAGTGTGAGATAGTTTTTCGTTTGATCTTACTAACTGTTTTCTATATCGAAAGTTTTGGAGAAATCGCAGAATAAAAATTATCATCATTATTAAAACTGGAGGAAAAGTCTTACCAGGAATCGGAATACTACCCACCACGACCCTCTCATCTGTGCTAATAATTGGAGGAGGGGGAGGCGTGGGGCTCCTTATCGTGGGGGGTAAGGGGGGCGACATTCGTATCACCTGTTCGGTGGGTGGCGGCGTGGTAGAAATATCCATGGCTTCATCGAATGTATTGGAATCTGACTGCGGATACTCCCACTGGCTGATCCCTGTCGCCAGGTTTTGGTAATAATACCTTTTATGCGACCTAAAACACCACGGAAGAAATAAAAAATAGAGGGCGTTAAGAATGTGTCGTCCGAGTTGGGGAAGTTTGGGGATTCTGAGTAGATTAATTTTATTGTAAATTGAATAACGGGAAAATTTCTCGGCAAACAACCCTTCTTGTAAAATAGTATCGATTATTTAAATGTTGAAGAGCTCTCTGGTTTTATATCAATATTTGAGTTTTCTGAAATTAACAAGCAAAAAATTCAAGTTAGTCTGAAGAAACAATTGTTGAGCGTAATAATAAAGCCGTGTTGATATTCGGTTGTCTCAAAAGCTTTGTTCGTTTCAATGTTATGTATTTCTATAGCCTCATATCTCAATAAATATTCATTATACTGTGTACTTTGTACTCTATACATCGATGCTGTTCATTTTTATTCCAAATTTAAATTTTTTGCCTCTTTTCAGCTTGTTACTATATCAGTTACATAAGGTTTCTTTCCAAAGAAATTAAAAATCACAAAAACAATCCGTGTTTAAAAAAGGAGACACGCATTGTATATAAAACTATAGAATGATAATATGTATACTCAACTGCTTTTCAAAAGTTATAGAAACAGCTGTGTACAATCAATTGAAAAATTACCTAGAGCATATAAAAATATTAACCCCTTGTCAGAACGGTTTCCGACTCAACTCCTCCATTGAGACCGCATCAACAAATATGATTCAGTATATCTATGAAAATATCATCAACCCATACTTCTTGAAGATAAAATTAGAAGCAAATGGGCATTCGAGATCCCATACAATCTTTCACTTTTTCATACATGACCGTAGAACCCTAAAAGTTGAGGTGAATAAAGAACTTTCAGACGAAAAAAGATTCCCCTTGGGACTCCTCAAGGTGGAGTATTGGGTCCTCTGCCGTTTTTATTGTATATCAATGACCTACCTCTCCACATTAACAAAGGGCGGGTCTTAATTTATGCAGATGATTCAACAATTATATTAACTGCTGATACATTTGACTCGATGAATGATATACAACTAGTAGGGAAGAACTTTTCAGAATGGTGTGAGAGAAATCACCTCATTAATAATATGGAAAAAGTGGTCCTAATCCAATTCAGTAGTCTTTGAAAACACTTCAACAACATGAAGTTCAACTTAAGCCACACTGATATCTTAGTATCAGAAAGCACGAATTAAACGACATAGCTGTCGAAGTTCTGCCTCATCCACCATATTCCCCAGACCTCTCGCCAATTGACAATCATCTGTAGAACCTTCGCCAATCAGGACCAGACGAAAACGGCCTTCGTCGACTTTATTTGATCGACTTGTGTTACGTTGGCAAAAGTGAAACAACTTAATATGCCTTCCAATTCTGAAATTTAACCCACACTACAAGTTTTAGCATTTCCGAAATATATTGACTCATCCCAGGTTCATATCCATGGTTTTGAACCTTTTCCCAGAATTCAACGACAACCCTATTACAGAGGAGCTAAATTTCAATGATACTTATCTCAGGGCATCATAAAAATTTTCTCGCACATTTTGAGCATTTCCACAATTTTAGTAAAAATTCATGTTTTCCAAAAACATTTCCAGCTGGAAATTTTGCGATTACAGAATTGAAATTTCGTTGTAGAAAATGATGTTACATTATGCCATTTCAGTTGAAATTGAAGAAAAAATGATATACCAACACAGTGATGAGATTCTTAATTTCTCTAATTTATTTTCAGATTAGGCAATTTTTTATGAAAAATTAGGCTAAGGCTTTCATAACAGAATAAGAGATTTTGGCAACATCCAAATAAAAATATAATTTGCCACGAAACAGTAATTTCTATAATGGGGAATGTTCCTCAATTTGGGTTATTACAGCAAATGCAAGTTTGAACAGATTAAAGTTGAGTTCAATTCATGAGTTTTTCAAATTCACTTCAAAAAGTATTCAAATTGATGTTTCAAATGTTGGGTTTTAATTTTTAAGGGGATTTGTTTCTAAATCACATATTGGCAACAGCGCCTAGAATGCTAGATCGGAGTTCAGGTTAGTAGTATGCTAGAAGAAGAAGAATCATGTCAATAGTGTCAAATTACGGCAAAATATAAATTATAGTTCAATACCACCCCCACAAGCCACATAAACAACAGCTGTTTTGTTATTTATTTATATAGAGGAAGATAGGTTAGGTGCACAAAATGTCATATGTCACAGAATGTCTCGGAACTCGGAACATAAGGAAACAGAACAGCACGCCTCTGAAATATGCCATCTTTGTTTGTCTCATACAGGTAACAGATTCGTTGTCCTTTATTAGCTATAACCGATGTTGCCAAATGGTGGAATAGAAACGAATCCCTTTTAATGTTGAATGCATTATTTCATTCATCTTTTTTTAAGTATTTAAATAATTTTTTAAAGAAAAAGGTTACAATGATACGTTCAAAATGCGTTGTTTTAGACCTCTTTTATGAAAACTACTTGATTTTCGTCAGGAGGAACATTCCCCATTGAAATCGTGAAAAACAATATTTTTCTACACTGCTGATTAATTCATGTGATATTGTTAACCAACCAAACTTCATGGGGCTACGTTGTTCGATTAATATTATTTGATGTAGTAATTCTTAGAATAAGAAAAATTCACTTAGGAAAGAAAGGTTTCGGCGTTTTCCTTCTCCATCTTCATACAAAAAATGGGGGAATTTTCCAAAGAAAACAATTGAGTTCGAAATAAACTCATTGAATCACACGAAAGAGAATACTTTTGAATAAGCTACTTCTTTGTGAACATGGAATACTGTCATCACCAATGGCAGACTTTCGATGTTTCGGAATAAGACTAGTTGCCTCTTCAGTACTACAGTACTGTATGAAGATGGAGAAGTAGAAACTATAACCTTTTTTTTCCCAAAAATTAATCCTCCTGAAAATATACCCCTTTCAATTTGAAAATGCACTTGTTAGGAATAAATATTTCAAATATGACAACAATATAATTGTATCACAGGGCATATTTCTTCAGAACCAACAATTATAATCATTTTGGAGACGAATTTTGAACAAAATTGTGATAAATGATTTTTAAAGTATTTTATGTATCAAAAAAATCAATTATGAATACTTTGAGCTACATTGAGTAAGTACTCATGGGTATTAAACATTTTCCTTCAAAAAGAACCCAAATTATTGGATGAAAGTTGTTTTCAACTAATGAGGTGTACCACTCTTCCTTCGAAACTCCATGTACCGACAAAAACGGTATACAACCTTTTTTTCATCAGTTATACTGTACCTGCTACGAGAACCTTTATCAAGATGAATAATTTACCAAATTATAATAATTAAAGAAAAACATTATTTATGCTGATCCATTTTCTCCGCATTTCTTGAGCAGACGAAGCAGCCTTCTCTTCGTTGTCGTCTCCTGCACATAAAAAATGTATTAGAACTATTACACCCAACTTTTGCGAATAAATTATAGAAATTAAGTATTCTGAACAGAAATTAATTAGTTACAAACCTTTGGAATAAATTATATAAATTCCTATCCGGCGAAATCAAACCTGCTACGAAATTAAACCTAGAGCGAACCAACCGGAAACTAAATAAGTTTCAGTCACGTATTTACCCGAAACAAGTTTATAGAAAACATTGCATCTCCCCGAACAGTTCAATCTACTGACAATCTTGTGAAGCAAAGAGAAAAGGAAAACAAGGGCGTCCCTTGAAAATATACTTCAACTAATTGTTGAATCTAGGTTAGAATCCTTTATTAGTTCCTACTTGCATAGGGAAAATACATTTCAAATGGTTTCATTATGTGTGACAATAAAATGCACATATATAATGTATTGAATTATTTTCAATTATGAAAGAATGACAATTAAAAAAAATACAGTCCGCTTCAAAGATTTGCCCCTCGATTCGTGGGTTATGAACATCATGACCATCTAGGAGTTTGGTATCTTTGAGAAGGTTTACATTAGGACCTTAATAGAAGTACTGTGCGAAAAAGCAACGGAATTTTGGCTGAGATATACAACTCTTGAGATTGTAGACAATTCCTTTCTTCAATTAATATCCACTATGAAGTGCACACACTGTGGATACTCATCAGTAACCTTTGATCCTTTCTGGGATTTGTCTCTCCCCATACCACTAAGAACTGGCCAATTACTTCACAAGATAGGAAACTTTGGATGGGGATGAAAACCAACATGTTCAATGTGCAAGGAAAGGAGGAAAACTCATTAAAAAAGATTCTCTATAACAGAATGAATTAGAGGCACATTTAATGTTTCCATTGACTTTTCTTTAGAAGGAATTATATATGAGCAATTATGTAGCAGACAATGTGGCTCCTTGTCGTGATAATCTATATGCACTTTCGAATTACAGTGGGAATATTCACAGCGGCATTACAGAGCATACTGCAGACACTCCTCTACACTGGCACGTGGCTCAAATTCAAAGATTCACAGTGTCCCTCGTTTCACCAAATTCGCTTGTGAGTGGAGAGGTAAATGTTCTCTTTTATAAACAGAAGGAAATGAAGTCGCACCTTTGAGGTGATTACTTTTTTTGAATAAATTCAGTTAATTGATTTTATTTCATAGTTCCAATAAAGTTTCTGTTTCAAATTCATTACATCACAACCCGATTTTTTATATAATACCAGACTTTGTCGCGACATCCACCCACTTCATGAAAAAACACAATTTTTTAGAATCATGAGTCATATAATATGGGTGCATACAAAACATGTCCCGCCATCTTTGATAGTCCGCCATTTTAGATTTAGAGGAAAGCCACATTATATTTCTTATTCTTTTCAGCAATCCCTTTCAATATTGGTCCCAATATTGGATTTAAAGTGACGTCTTGTCTTTTTACAAGCTCTCATTTAACTTGCAAAGTTTGTATTCATGTAAGTTTAGCTGAATTTAAAATTTTGGAGCAGTTATCCTCAATTGATTGACCTAAAATTTTACAGTCACATTCAGTTTGAATCCAAAACAAACACAGTTTGCTGAAAATAATAAGAAGAATGGAATGCTATCGCTCTAAATTCAATACGGCAGACTCCCAAAGATCTTTAGATGTGTGTCAACCCATTCAAGCAAAAAAAAAAGTCAAATTCGAAGTATAACTCACCTTGAACAGCTGAAGATCGTCTCTTGAAAAGTCAAAATTATAAAACAATAGAGGAATGACAGGACTGAAGGAAAAAGTAAAAGGTGAGAAACACATTAATGTCATAGCGTTCATACCTATCCCATTGCAAAAGCCACCCCGCAGGCGTCGCTTCTTTTTCCAGCTTTATCAATTCGCTGCAGGTGTCACTCAGCCATTTTTTTAAGTAAGATAGTTTCAATCCTCCGTCTTTCATGGCAATGAACAACATCTGGAATTACAATTATTAAATGAATGAGCGTTGAAGCCAGTGATAGCTGGTAGTGTAGCTACTGCTACACAGTTTTACAAAAACGCAACACGTGTTTCGCTATACAATAGCTTCTGTACAAACAAAACATGCCTGAAGAAGCTATTGTATAGCTAAACACGTGTTGCGTTTTTGTAAAACTGTAACATTAGCTTCCTCATATGTGTCAATGTTTCAATGAACAGTTTTACTAAAACGCAACACGTGTTTCGCTATATAATAGTTTCTATATAGACACGCCCGAGGAAGCTATTGTATAGCGAAACACGTATTACATTTTTGTGGAACCATTCAATGAAACATAAACACATGAGGAAGCTAATGTTAAACAGTTTTACAAAAACGCAACACGTGTTTCGCTATACAATAGCTTCTGTACAAACATGCCCGAAGAAGCTATTGTATAACAAAACACGTGTTGTGTTTTTGTAAAACTGTAACATTAGCTTCCTCATATGTGTCTACGTTTCACTGAACAGTTTTACAAAAACGCAACACGTGTTTCGCTATACAATAATTTCTGTATAGACACGCCTGAAGAAGCTTCTCTATAGCAAAACACGTGTTGCGTTTTTGTAAAACTGTTCAGTGAAACATAGACACACATGAGGAAACTAATGTTACAGTTTTATAAAAACGCAACACCTGTTTCGCTACACAATAGCTTCTGTATAGACACGCCTGAAGAAGCTATTGTATAGCAAAACACGTGTTGCGTTTCTGTGAAACTGTTTAGTGGAATTCTCACAATAAAGTGTCAGTATAGACACGCCTCAAGAAGCTATTGTATAGCGAAACACGTGTTGCGTATTTGTAAAACCATTCAATGAAACATAGACACACATGAAGGAGCTACCATTACACAGTTTTACAAAAACGCAACACATGTTTCACTATACAATACCTTCTGTATAGACACGCCTCAAGAAGCTATTGTATAGCAAAACACGTGTTGCGTTTATGTGAAACTGTTTAGTGGAATTCTAACAATGAAGTGTCAGTATAGGCACGCCTCAAGAAGCTATTGTAAAGCGAAACACGTGTTGCGTATTTGTAAAACCGTTCAATGAAACATAGACACACATGAAGGAGCTACTGTTACACAGTTTTACAAAAAGGCAACACATGTTTCACTATACAATACCTTCTGTATAGACACGCCTCAAGAAGCTATTGTATAGCAAAGCACGTGTTGCGTTTATGTGAAACTGTTTAGTGGAATTCTAACAATGAAGTGTCAGTATAGGAACGCCTCAAGCTATTGTATAGCGAAACACGTGTTGCGTATTTGTAAAACCGTTCAATGAAACATAGACACACATGAAGGAGCTACTGTTACACAGTTTTACAAAAACGCAACACGTGTTTCACTATACCTTCTGTATACCTGTTTCACTATACCTTCTGTATAGACACGCCTCAAGAAACTATTGTATTGCGAAACACGTGTTGCGTTTATGTGAAACTATTTAGTGGATTTCTCACAATGAAGTGTCAATGTAGACACGCTTCAAGAAGCTATTGTATAACGAAACACGTGTTGCGTATTTGTAAAACCATTCAATGAAACAGACACATATAAAGGAGCTACTGTTACACAGTTTTACAAAAACGCAACACGTGTTTCACTATACAATACCTTCTGTACAGACACGCCTCAAGAAGCTATTGTATAGCGAAACACGTGTTGCGTATTTGTAAAACCATTCAATGAAACATAGACATACATGAAGGAGCTACCATTACACAGTTTTACAAAAACGCAACACGAGTTTCGCTAAATAATACCTTCTGTGTAGACACGCCTCAAGAAGCTATTGTATTGCGAAACACGTGTTGCGTTTATGTGAAACTGTTTAGTGGAATTCTAACAATGAAGTGTCAGTATAGGCACGCCTCAAGAAGCTATTGTATAGCGAAACACGTGTTGCGTATTTGTAAAACCATTCAATGAAACAGACACACATGAAGGAGCTACTGTTACACAGTTTTACACAAACGCAACACATGTTTCGCTATACAATACCTTCTGTATAGACACGCCTCAAGAAGCTATTGTATATCAAAACATGTGTTGACGTTTTTGTGAAACTGTTTAGTGGAAATCTCACAATAAAGTGTCAGTACAGACACGCCTGAAGAAACATGTGTTGCGTTTTTGTAAAACTGTGTTATGCATTTGTTTCAATCGATTTTATTAGTAATATTTTAAGAAAGAATAAATATAACAATGTTATGAATAATGTGTTTGTGTGTGCGAGTAAGGGTGTGTGTGGGGGGAGTGAGTAGGTGAAAATGGGGGTAAGGGAAGGGGCGATGGGGCAGAGAAGGGGTGTTGGGGGGTGTACGTGTATGCACATAGGTAAAAGTAAGGGCGAGGAGGTGTTGAAAAGTAGGTGCAGGAAGCAGAATGATTTTTTTTGGGGTGGGTGCGGGGAGGGGGCGTGGGAAGCTGGGAGGGGTATGTGGGGGGGGCGCAAGGGTACGTGTGAGACTCACTTCTGCTTGGATAACCATTGTTTGTACTGGTGAAATAGATGGCCTTCCTCCATTTAGAAAAACCAACTTCTCATTCAAAGTGGAATACATCTGCTCCACCTCTCCTTTATTTATAACCTCCTCCTCCACTTTCTCCACTTTATCACAGTCTGTTTCTTTATCTTTGGGAATGTCGGGATTCAAAACATCCGACTTCACGAACATAACCCCGCCTTTTTTAAAACCTGGATACACAACATCGCTTTTCGGGCTAGAACTTGCTTCTTTATCAAATCCAAGTCCTTTTCTTTCCTCGTCTATCGGATCCTCTTTCTTTTTTGTTGTGTTCACCAAAGCTACGCCTATCCTTCTTTTCCGCTGAAATGCTTTGCTGTGAAACTCTTCTCCGTTGGATATTTGTTGTTTTTCGGGTTCCACTTTGGGTTCTTCGATAAAATCTTTGACGTCTATGGGTTCTGCTATGGGGAATAGTGTACTATGGGAAACAGGAGGAGGTTCTGATTTTGGTAGGAAAACTGACTTTATCTCCTCGTTTTCCTCCTCGCTATCGCTATACCCAGCGACTAATGAGAACCCCGAAATATCCTTCTTTTTCTCTTTCTTCATGACCTCAGCCTCGAGTTTGGGGTTTTCCACTACCTCTTTGACGCCTGCAGGAAGCTCACCTCCCAACTCTTTCAGTTCTTGGGCGCGCTTTTGGATTTTTGTCAAAATATCCATATCATCATCTTCTTCTGACAAATAACTGTCGTTTTCTTCTTTCGAGGGTTCATCGTCCACCTGAAACATTATGAAGTTGAAATACCAGAATGGTGGCTTGAATGTTACCTTAGCCTCAGAGACCGCGAGACCTCGACAAGTTTCTTGGAGTTCTCTTGCGGTAATTCATCATTGGCATGTCGATTGGAACATTCAGATTGAAAACTTGACCGTCATGTGTTGTTTGTATTGCAACATCTTAGATTTTTTCTCATCATAATTGTTTTATTGAGATACAGAATAATTTCTGTCGACAGTGAATACTTAAACTTGGAAAAATAGGTAGACAAAGTACCAAATAGTTATTCATTATTGAACAAGAAACAATGAAATCAACAAAACTGACTTTGAAAATTGACTGGTTGTAAAAGAGACGAATTTTCTGACGTAGATCTGGGAACCTGACTTCCATTTACCACATGAGTTGTGAGAAATATCTGCTTAGTATAATATGCATTTTTTTCCTATGAAAAAGTACATCACGGTGTATTTTTCTTAGAAAAGGGAAGCATATGCACACATATATACAAACATATACACACATATATACAAACATATATACACATACATATGCACACATATACAAATATATGCGGGCATACATACCAACACATGCTTATAGAACAGAATAGAACTTTATTGTGCCCATAAAAAATACAAATATTTTGGACAAGTCACCTATTACATTGCACAGTTATATAAAAAAGCTGTAAATGTAACAATAAAATTAAATGTAGAGTATAAATTGCATTTTAAAAATTCTTAACTACATATACAAACATATGCGCAGATACATACCAACACATGTTTATATACAAACATATGCACACTTATACAAACATATTCAAACATATACACACTCATACAAACATATGCACATATATATACAAACATGTGCACACATATATACAAGAATATACATACATATAGATAGTCTTGTCTAAATATTGAGTTTACTAGATTTTACAGTAAAATATCAACACGTTAAAATGTACAAATTTTCTGATGAGGGTTCAACACTATTTTATTTACCACGTAAGTCGTGAAGTTGTCATTGAAGAATTCGTCTGCAGTATCAAAAACTTTTCGTTCATTTTCTTGCGACAAAGTTTCATTGGATCCTTTTTTTAATGAGAGGGGAAGATGATTAAATAGTTTGTTCCGTTATGAAACAGTGAATTCTTGATGTGTGATATTGAAGAAATAGGAAAAGTGATATTGCAAGTGAGACAGGTAGTATAACTTAACAGTAACAAAATATTTTCCTTGTATTTTCTTTTTATGAGGCAAACTTTCTCTAAAATGAAAAGAGAAGCTAGAGGAAGTATGTCACATACTGAAAAAGATAATTATCTATCTGAAGAGAATTGGGAAAGATAAAAGCAGATGAATTCATTATACTCAAGTAGGGATTCTTCACTGGAACTTTAAAACAATTTTATAATGACCTAATATAAATAATAGCTTCAAGACTGTGAATTGCTTTTTCAGTTGCAGGTCGTCAAATAGTTTTTGGGATAAAGAATTATCTTAATTTAAAAATACTTTCTACTCAATGTGAATAATAGTGCAATCTACGGTTATCCACTGTTTTTGGAACATTGAGTTCTGAACTTAGAAATGGCTTTATAATTATAAACTTCATTTTAGCTCAAAACATTTTGTCAACAAGATGTTTTTCTTTTGAAAATAAACGTATCTCTGTTTCATAAAGGAAATAATTTCAAACAGTCTATGTATTCATTTTACTCACCGTTTTAATTTTTTTCTGTATTGGTTCTTCATCTTCATCAGTTTCGGAGTCTCCGCCGTAGGAGGATATTAGCACTATCCTTCTAGAAAGGGTAATAATTTGTTACCTAACTGCTGATTATTGAAACGATGCAGAAAATTATTACTTACTCGTCCTCAGAGTCGCTTTCTTTCTCGAAAGGTCTTTTAGGGGCCTTCTTCTGTGGTTTTGGTCGATCTTTTTTTACAGAACTTTCGCCTATGGAATATATTTTAACACTATCCTGGGGTAACTTTTTTGTTGCGCCAGAAAACAGTTCAGACGATTTCGGAGGTATGTATATACCAGAAGGCTTTTTTACATTTTTCAAGGTGGGTTTGTTCTTTTTTTGGTCTTTGAAGTCTGCAGGAGGGTCCCAAGTCACTTCGTCGGTTTTACAGTTCCAATAGTAAGAATAACCAGTGAGTTCGTCGTGGCACTCTTTCCAAACTAGAGGAGAGACATAAATACGACCATTTGAGTATGATTTAAACAATAGAAGTATGTTGTTTGGCAAACCAAGTATATTTAAAAAGAAAATCAGCTAATATAGTGTCAAATGCTTTTGATAGGTTAAAGGATATATTGATAAAAACACATCAAGTTTTTCGTAAATATTGAGAAAAGAGAAGCTAGCTGTTACAATAGAAAAATTTTTCATAACATCTGTCAGCAGAGTAAGTTTCCAAATAGCTAATTTGCCTGTAGTTGTCTATTTCTTTTCGGCTGCCTTATTTAAAAAAAGGTGAAACATATGCCTCCTTTCATTTCATAAGACAAACTATCGCATTTTCAAGTCACTTTTGAAAATTCAAAACAGAGACAATAATTGGATTTCTTACATTATCAACACTTCAATTACTTACCACTTTCAACTACTTTTGGAGGTTCTGGTTGTTTTGGTGGTGCAATTTCGTTAATTTCATTGAAAAAATCATCTATCTGAGCATCCATTTCTTAATAATAAATACAGTTCTAGTTTCTAGCTCTTATATAAAAAATGTACATAGCGAAATAGCAATCTGACAATTTGTACTATTTATAGTCTATGCATCAATGATTTATAGGTTAGGTAGCTAGTACCGACGTTGCCAATTCTCCGATGCCGTTGTTGCAACACAACACACACCGTACAGAAGTAGCAAGACGTGTTCCCAAAGTGAAATGAAAAAAATTTCTACCGATGGTGGCACTAGTGTGTTCAGCAAATTGTCTGCAAATGGTAACATAGATTATGTATATTTTTTGGGCTTTGATGTGTTTTGAGTTGTTTAATTGTGACGGAAATACTTTTTTGTTGCGATTATTCTAGACATGAGATAACCAGCGACTGCTCCCAATACTGTAGATTTAAATATGGACATCTTACTGTCATTCTGTAGGCTTTGTATTCTCTGATATTTCTTTATCAAGAGTGCCGTAGGTCTAGAGTTTTTGTTAAAATATTTCACATGGGGAAGAGGTCCAATCCAAGTGATCACACCATAAATCTTGGTAAACAAAATACCATTGCCCACTTTCATTAATTGCTTGTCAACAAATAACGGTATCTGTTAGCAGGGAAGCTAATGCTGTAACTTAAATTTTGAACGATATAATAAATAATTCAAGTTGCGCGTTATATGCTAGTTTATGGACTCATGGAACCTGATATAGCCTTCGTGGTGACTGCATATACCACTGATGATGTATGGAATAGTAACAGACGAAACTTTTGGTACTGCAGGCTTACTAACTAGACTTTGTTCTCTTTAATGGCGACTTTAGCTGTGAAAGCCTGTGTTATTCTATAAATATTTCCTCAATATCTTCGATTCTGCAGATAAGGATAAAAACCACAAATAAATGATATTCTTTTTAATTCAAATCCACTTCAAGGAGAAGAAGATTATAAGGCACATCAGATATATGTATATATGTATACAAAGTATAAATAAATGGACGACATATACGGAATATAAAAAATAAATATAAAACCTACTACTCACGATATGTAGACAATAAATACAATAACCTAAACTATCAAGCAGCCTTGATACTCTCATCAGAAGGTCCGATTTGCACATCCCACATTTCGTCAATAAATAAATAAATATCCTAACAATGTCATACTTTATCCGCCACAATGGTAATCGACAGCTTCCTGTCAGGCCAGGAGAACGTCTTGGGTAACGAGAGAGCCTCCGGGGTCCCCAGAGCTTGAAACGTGACGGCCATATCCTGAGCCAAGTCGACGGGTATCAAAACTTGCAGCCAAGAGCCCTGAGACACAAACGGATTTTCAGCATCGACCAGAGTGCCCGTCACCGAATCGGCTACCAGGGTTATCGCGGTTTCTCCCAGGACGGACTTGAACGTGAAGTGGCGACCGTGTCTAACTCTTCCTCTGGAACAAATAATTATGACGATAGCTCTTTCCTGATAATTTTCATTTGAAAAATACGCTATCACAACTCGTATGACAACTTAGAGTGAAATAATGTCGAAAAATCACGAAAACCATAATCTAGAACATTAAAACTTTAAATGTTTTTATACCACTTGTATTTGTAACTAACGTTACTGCAGTTTCGTCCTACAAGGGGATATTTTCAAACACATACAACATTGTATTCGTTTGAATTCAAATACAATCGAATCATGACGTCATTCTCTTTTTCACCGAAAATTAAAAACATATCCGGTACGCCCGACTTAATCAGGTAAGCTGTGCAGGTATGTGATACATTAGAGAAAGTGCTTTCAACAGAAAGTATTGAAAATTTCAATCAAAATCCAAAAGTAAAAACAATTTTGCACGCCTATGGAAAAGCAATTTGAAAATGATTTATCCTTTCGCTGCCTAAGGAAATAGACTGGAATTTTGTAGTTCAACTCACAATTGGCCTCAAAACGTGACTTTTTTCAATAGGAATATCTGTTATTTGAATCCACTTTTTACTCTGAGACCTTTCATTTGCCTTCTAGTTTTTTAGCTTATAATTTTTGTAACATTCGTTCATTTCTTAGAATCTACATAGTCTATCTTTCGTACATTTCTATTCACATTCTTCAACTTTTATTTGTTCCCATTGTTCATCTAATCCTTCCTTTCTCTACCCATGTTTCTTATTGTCTTTCATATTCCTTTTGAACTCGCCCCTGAAGAGCTACTTCAATCAATGTCCTTTCTTCTTTCAATGCCCTTTCTTCTTTCGCTGCCTGTTTTCATTTTTACACTTTCCAGGTATCCACTCTTTTCGTTACTCAAGTCCTCTTTTCTATTAGATTTTATTTTTTCAGCTCTTACTTTTCTCTTATTTTCTCACATTCTTTTCTACTGACACTTTATCACTTATATTTTAGTCAAACTTCATTTCTTGTGTTTTTTGTCATGCTTCTCTTTATCTCTTAATTTCTTGTTACTTGCTTTTCTGATTTATTTCCTTGTACTTAGTGGATATTTTCCTATTCCTTTCTCTACCCTTTTAATATCTTTCATCTGCCTTCCAAACTTGTTCCTAAATAATTACTTTACTCATTGTCCTCTTTCTTTCTTTGTCCACTTTCTTTCATTGCTAGTCTTCGTCCTTCCTGCTTTATATTCCAATTTTCTTGTTGCTAATTTCTCACTTTTGTTCATCTCCATCTTTGAAATATTTTACTGTTCATCTCTACTGTATATTTTCTATTTTACTTCTCATATTCATCTCTCATTTTTATCTTCATTTATCTTTTCTGTTCTAGTCTTCTTTTGTTTCCTCTATCTCCCATTCTTCTCCCTCTCATTATTCTCTCCTTCATTTCCAATCTTCTTCACCTACGTTTCTCTTCTCTTCCCTTTTTTGGTATATTTCTATTTTATCTGCTTCTTTTCTTTTTGTTTCCTCTATCAGTACCTCTAAATCTTATGATACTGCCTCATCTCCAGTTTATCTTCTCTTTCTTCTTCGCCCCTTTTCCTTGTTTCACACTTTGGGTAACTTCTATTTTGCTTTAAATTTTTCTGTTGTACCTATTGTCTCCCTCTTGCATTCCTTTCGTCTTTTGAGCTTTCTTCCTGTTCCACTTCTCTTTCTCTCTCTCTCTTTCTCTTGAATATTTTAATATGATTTCAAAACAAACATCACAATAATTCTTTTCTTTCTTTCTCATCTCTAGTTTATCTTCTTTTTTTCTTCGCCCCTTTTCCTTGTTTCACACTTTGGGTAACTTCTATTTTGCTTTAAATTTTTCTGTTGTACCTATTGTCTCCCTCTTGCATTCCTTTTGTCTTTTGAGCTTTCTTTCTGTTCCACTTCTCTTTCTCTCTCTCCCTTGGATATTTCAATATGATTTCAAAACAAACATCAGAATAATTCTTTTCTTTCTTTCTTGATGATCAACTATCAATGTTATTCGACAAAATTCATTTTACATACCTTATAGCCAGAGGAAGTAAACTACCAGCTTCCAAATTAAACACAAGATGAACCCCCTCCAGTTTTTTGAGATGCATCAGTTCTGCCGACTCGAGAAAATTCCTGCTTCCTGAAACAGTAAATAACTGTTAATAAAACAGTTAACTGTTTTATTACACAGTCAATTTCTACCTTGGAGTGCCTGTTGTACAGGGGACTTCAACCTAAACTCGTCATTTTGATCATCTCCGTGATCTTTCAAATGGGATATATCGACTTGAGTAGGATCCTGCTCCACCCACGAACACCTAGCACTGACTCCGCTCAGATTCGAACCTTCCCTCTCGAAACCTGTCTCGACTTCATCATGAGCATTCAAATCAAGTTCAAATATGCTTTCTCCTCGCCTCATGTCCGTTATGTGCCAAGGACCACCGGCCCTAGAATTACAATCAATAAGTACTACGTCAAATCAGTAACACTGACGTTGAACATTATTTTGAAATTGTTGTCACATTACTTACGACGGTAACCTGGATATCATGTTCAGAATTCCGGCTCCATTCCATTGTTGTGCTGCTTTCAGTTCTTCAGAGCATATTCCAACGATCTGGACAAAATCCACGGTTCCAAACGGTGTATGAGCTGTATTCAGCTGCAAATCGGTGGTCATCAGCATATGTTGAATTCGAGATTCGCTGTTATCTAGAGCACAATGCCATGACACGTGATCTCCTGAACACAGGCTGTTACCTGGAAAAATCACAAGGTATAGAACAGGAGAGCGGGGTACAAATCTCGATCGGATACATATATTTTCAACTAAGTGTTTCTTTCATTTATGTCTGTGAACCGCGAAAGTATTCGCGAAAGTATTTTAAAAGGGCATTCGAGACGGTCAACATTGAGATACTCAAGATGCAAGATGAACAGCCGTCATTGAATCTTTATATTGAAAGGGTAACAAATTTTAAATATTTGGGAGTACTATTAGATCAAGAATTAAACCTTGATGCGCACTGTAGTTATATTCAGAAGAAAATAGCCACAAAAATTCATTTTTTATATAGATTGAAAAATGAAATAAGTGAATATGCAAAATTAACAATTTATAAATCGGAATTTAATGAAAACTCAATGTTTTTTGAAGAAGTGCTAGAACCTGAACTAGTTTCAACAATGACCGGACTAAAAAATAAAGAATCGAGTGGCCTAGACAATGTAACAATAAAAGGTCTAAAATATGTCATTCCATCTATATCTGAAATTCTATTGAATCTTATGAATCACTCTATAATGAAAGGCGTGTTTCCGAGTGTCTTCAAAACAGCCAAAGTTATTCCTATTCATAAAAAAAGTTCACATGAAGATATAGATAACTATCGCCAAATATTATTACTGAGTATATCATCAAAACTTATTGAAAAAATAGTAGCAAATAGAGTTATTGCGTTTCTCGAAAAATACAAGATTCTAAACGATTCAACATGGTTTTAGAAAAGCTAGATCAGTTGAGACTGCTATTGCTAGAAAATTCGAGTTTATTTACAATGAAATCGATGTAGTTTCAATATTATTTGACTTTGCTAAGGCGTTTGATTCAGTAAATAGTGACGTAATGGTTAGTAAGTTATATAACATTGGCATTAGAGGGTTCCTTCTGGAATGGATAAAATCTTTTATGGAAGATAGGAAAATGGTAGTGACTGTGAATAATGCAGTATCTGATACTCGAGATATTATACTTGGGGTACCACAGGGGTCCATTTTAGGCCCAATGATTTTCTCTATCTATATAAATGATCTTCCGAAGTATATAAAACAAGGTAAGTATATAAAACAAGGCAGATGACACTACCATAACAGTTTCCGGAAATACTGAGGAGGAGCTAGAAAACAACATTAATTCAGTCATGGATGACATGATTTCTTGGTGTGATAGAAATCAACTGAAACTGAACGGAAGTGAAAGAGTACATTTAAGCTTCTCGTTAAGGAAAACAGTGAAACTCAACAACATTCAACTCTCGGAAACAGCCAAACTCTTTGGTATGTTTATAGATAAAACCTTGTCTTGGGAGCCCCATATCGATCATGTCTGCAAAAAATTGAATCAAGCGTTATTTGCAATACGACAGATCAAAGACGAGCTTAGTTTAGATGGTATCAGGACTGTTTACTATTCATTGGCGTACTCACATATGGCTCAAAATGTATTAATGTGGGGTTCTTCTGTGGGGGCAAAACGTGTTTTTATTGTTCAAAAAAGAATAATAAGAACAATCTTTAATATTGCACCCAGGGATAGCTGTAGACCTGCTTTCTGCAAGAACAAGATGCTAACGTTACCGTGTATCTATATATATATAAAGCTCTGCTCCATGTGAAAAATAATGTACCCAATCTGAGAGATGAATCAATAGTTCATAACTATGCAACACGAAATAGACATTTATTAACTATCCCAAAACATAAAACATCGACATTTAAGGAATCACTTGCATATAATGGCATAATATTATTCAATATGTTGCCTCAAGATATTAAAGATTTGCATATTATACCATTTGAAAAAAAAAATAAAGGAGCTATTAACTAATAAGGGATATTATAGCATAGATATATATATATATAGTTGTATGTGTATGTGTGTTTGTTTTATTTTTTATATAAACATATGTATATAGTTAAGTACCTGTTTCAAGTGTCTGATCTATGTTATACTGTGGACCGTTATTATTGTTTTATATAATTTTCATATTTTTATTTATGACATGTCTCATATCATGTAAATGATCGAAAAGGCGAATAAAGTTATTATTATCATTATTACCTCACCTGACTGAAACACATATTTTGCCAAAGACTGCATAAGCGTAGCTGGCCATGTTGGAGGTGCCGTTTCTCCTGGTTCTCTTTTCAGCCTAAAACTAAGCTCGAAACCAAACCCAGATACCCCTTTTGGTCCAGATATATCATGAACTCTACCATCTCCATGCAGATCTGACAAGCCAAAGCTGGAAAAGATAATTGTTGAAAATACCGCCCAAAAATGGAAAATATTCAAACTGAGAAATGCCACCGTTTTCCGAAAGATATATTAAACTGTCTGTTCAAGATAAGAAGAGCCAGCATGGGAAAATCAGAAGTCGTGAGGGCTACAACGTGGTATCTTTCTAGGTTTTGAACTTTCCCATACATTTTCCCATTTGAACATACAGTGTATAGTTGAAAGTGTAAGGCCACTTTTACTATTGAAATTTATTTGGTACTTCTATTGTTAAACTACCTTCGACAAAAGTTGTTGGAACGTACCTTATATAGTGCCAATGAGGAGGAATATTCTCGTGTGGTATTCCAGGATTGGCATACATAGAAATGTAATCCAAAGGATCAGGACCTCCCAGCCTGAAATCATACCGAATTAGTGTCATACAACGTTCATAATAATATCACACTAAATTATATCTTTTTCTTGGAGTACAAAGCTTTTCTGACATTCATATGAGCTACCTCAGAGCATATACTATACCAGATGACAGACTACTCGTATATTTTGACTGTGTACATAATTGCATATTTCTAAAAATTTGGTTTTTGTGGCATATAACAGAGTTACAAGAAAAGTTTCACAATATTACATGAATAAACACTTGTTCCGCTAATGTATTAAAAAGTATTTCAAATATATCATTATTTGTAGTAAAAGATATCTTCAAGACGCCTTTCAGATATTTTTCTGGACATAGGGAACTTCCTCAAGATATCTGTTACGTCTTGAAGGGTACATTCTTGAGATATCTCTCAGACAACTTCATACTGTTTGTGTAACACACTTATTACCAAATTTGTAGTAGGAGAAATTATAGTTAATGAGGAGTTTCTTTGCGTAACAGTAGTGAGTAACAGTATATCTGTGTTCCTCTTAATTTTACATTTATGGATGAATAAAATAGAATTGGGTATTACCCTTTGTGTTGACTAGGGAGTCAGAAAGATATCTTACCAGTATTTTAATAATGCTGTCACCTGCAGAGGATTAACTTGATCTGGATATATTTTTCTACACAGAGAATACAGACTCTCCAATCCTGCAGGGGTAGGCGGAAGAATGTTCATAGGAGGTCCATGAGGAAGACTAGCAGCAGCTTCCTCCATCATCAATTATCACTCTATTTTTAGAGTTTCAAAAGGAAGTAATCCACACCCACAAAATTTTCAATTATCTTAGAGAAATTGAAACTTTTTGGAGTTCGGGTGATTGTTAAAAATGTTAGAATCTTATAAACTTTAGAAAATTGGAACTTTAAATGAATAAAAAATACTTTTCAGAAATGTAAACTTTTTGGTCTGAATTTATACAACCCTTAAAACAAAACAAAAGTAATGTCAAAAATCACAAGTCAACAAATTAACCACAGAGTGTCATTTTCTGATTGAGAGGTTATTATCCAGTTGTGACATCTGGTGGAGATATCAACACTACTGTAAAAAGTGAAGGAAATTTGAAACTGATGATTTTTGAAGATGATGATCACAATTATCTGTGATTTGATTTTCGAGCTATCAAGATTTATGAGAATTTTGAAAATTAGATTCAGTATTTGTTCAAATCGCAAAATCAAAGGCGATTGTTTTATGTCAAATTTATGAAAAGATTAAAAAATGCGGACTTTCAGTCATTTTTTGTCAGAAAGGTACATAAATTATATGTAGAACTGTAAATAAAATAAGAAAGTATATTTTGTGATCCAATTAAAAAAAGTGTTTGCCAGATCAACACTGAAAACCGAATGTTTTTAGGAGATATAAAAATAAGAAAATTTGTATATGGATTTTTTTATTAAAAAAATCTGATCCCCAAGGAAAAATAATTTTATTACATAAAAAAGTATTAACAGTCTTCATTATCGTAGCTTAAAAATTAACACCGTTGATCAAATAAATCGCCTCATTATCACACCCACATAGGACTCTTCTCCGATTCAAATCCAGAGAGTTGATGGGTTTTCCTAGAGTTGGCATCAAAGTAAAAACTTCCAACTTGTTTTTGACGTTGTCGGGGGCCAGCCAGACGTTCGTCTCTGTACCATCTGCCAACTGCTGTCTGACATCGGATTTGGTAGCCCATTGCCAGATTTCTCCGGAACTGGAACAGCTATATAGCTGGTCAGGATTTTCTGGCTCGAACTGAATTTCGCTGATGGCTCCTTCATGAGCATTGAGGACATTAACTGGATAAGTATTGTGGCGAAGATCCCAAGTTGTGAGGGCTCCTTTGAGTATGAAAAATATAATAGAGAAGGAATTAACTTCTGTACTCTAAGAAAAGCAAACCATAGACACACGTTTTGAGATTTCGCACTTCTTTGACAACCAAGTGTTGCCCCACCTTGCACTTGTCTGCACCATACTGATGATGTGCCAAAAGTCCGAAACACGTTGCTATGGCTTGCCTTTTTTAGTCCAATAAAATTATCTCTAGAATTCATGTCGAGATTCTCACTAAAGATTTTGTGGATAACTTATAAAAAAATAAGAAAAACTGACAAGAATATACATTGCATGAAAGTTATGTAGTGAATAGTAACATGGATGATGGTTACCAAGAGGCGGGAAAGGAGGTTATGATACATATACACCTTCGAATTAAAAATAGACCGGTTTTTTCAGTTTTTTGAAAAGTCTTTTATTTAACATCAATGATTTTATTTTGGTTGGACTTACCTAAGTCGTCTCCTGTTATAATCAGATGCCTTTGAGTTGGATGGTAGGTGAGACATGTAGGGGTAACCTGGTCTCCACTGATCATAAAAGTGCTGTTAGGGTTATTACCGGAACTACGCAAATCCCAAATTTTCAACTGACCTCTTAAATTACTGGTTAAAATCTCATTATGTTTCAGGAATATCACACACTGAATGGAACAGCTATCAGCATCGTCTACACAAAAAACACTGAGTTAATATATGGAATAAGTTACAAATTGTTTCTGCGGATACAAAAAAAAGTAACACGAATATCGAATCGACCAGGAAAACATCTGCAACACCTCTGGATATATAAAATCTAATTCCATCAAATTAAACATATGTTACGGCTATCATGTATGTATTTGTAATATAGTTCTCACCTATTTTACCATGTACTTTTTGTACTTTTGTGTTCAGTAGATTTATGCACCCATCTTCACCAACAGTCACGATATCGTTTTCGTATACAGCCAATGCAGTGCAGGGACTTGCTTCACCATTTTTGAACTGATGTATTTTATTCCAAGTAATTTCACTTTTCAAAGCGATGTTGTCAGTGTACGCAGGAACAATTTTCATCAGATGTGCTGATCCACTTGAAGACGACGTAACAAAATAGTCTGCATTCAGAAACTGTGAAATTAAAATGTTTGAGAATCAAACACACTAGAATTTAATGTGTGAAAAATTTCTTGGAATACTTACCTTCATTTCGGTTACATCTCCACAATAAGGAAAGGTGGATATCAGGAAAGGATACACATCATCCTCTTCATCGTTTTCGTGAAAATCCCAGAGTTTTATGTTATTGCAATCGTTGTCTACGCTCCCAGTGAGAAAAAAGTGCGAGTTGTTGAATTCATCGGGCCTCCAACGTATTTTGTTGATTTTTTCGGATACGAAAGTCCCATGTACACTGTGAGACATTATGAAATGATGTATTTTTGCTCCAAACCAGTTAACAAATCAAACGAGTTTTTGAATTTCCTGGGAAATAACATAACATAACCCTTGGTTTTCAAATTTAACCGCACTTAATTCAAAACTCAAGTCTTCTTTTTCCAATATATGGCCTAAGCTATACGAGCTATTTAACCTATATAACTATCATCCCTAAACGTGAACAATGTCACTAAACTAGGCAATAAATTTAAAAACTTAGTCTATGTTGAGTGAAATAATATATTTACTAGATAGTACTTTCAGGAAAATTTGACGGGGTGTATGTGACATGTTCCTGATGCAAATCTGGCAAAAAACTGTAATGTGTTGTTTCCAGAAAGTTGAAAAAAATTCGAAAAACGCCCTTACATAGGTGGAAGTTGAAAATAACTAATTAAATCTATCAACTCTACTCTCACCTTCACAATGACAAAAATTCATCAAAAGATTTTATTTACAAATCTGATTGTAATTCAGATCATTATAGTCAGTAAGCCATCTTTACGTTGCAATAGTTACAATTGGAATAGAGAATATTCTATAAATAATTAGAATACAGTAATCTAATGTTGAAAAAGTTTTGAAATGGTTTTTCGTTAACCAGACAGCGTTCTTTTCCAACAACTCTTTGAAGTCAAATCCTGTTCGAGCCGAAGATTCTTAGCAAGGGTTAAACGATAAACATTAAACACCGCTCGTCTTATAGAGCTGTTTGAGTTGTTTCTTTCATGCTTCTGAATACAATAGTGTTTGTAGTTTCGCACCTATCTCCCCTACTAATTGGTAATGCAGTCTCTTATAAATAGCACGACATGATTAGGGCTGAGGTCTAGGTCAGGTGTAAATGTCAGGAGCGGCAAATGGAAGCCCTTGGTTTATCCTCGAGGAGGATTCCGAAGTGATTTACGTGGAATTGTGGATTTATAGCATCACGGCATGCACCTTTCATGTTAATTTAAGGTAGCCGTAAAATCAAGATATGGACCGAATGTGGATTTTCAACTATAATATATCGGCAGAGAAGGCGATTAGGCAAAATAGCTCGAAGTTTCAAGAGAACGGAGTTTCTGATCATGTACAGAGCTGGGTCGACAGTTCTTTAATAGACTGTGTCGCAACTATTTTATGCTATAAATTAAGTCAAATTTAGAAATACTCACTGTGAATTAATGAAAATCGGCATTTTAAAAAGCTTGAATAAACAGTAAAACCGAGGGAATATACATATAGTCCGTTGAATCGTGGCAAAGTTAATAATGGGAATACACGTCAAAAAGAGTAAGTCAGTAATTTGATATACTTTTGTCCGGGTTGAACCGGACATCATGAACCATCACCGGACATCTTGATGGTATCCACAATCACTTTTGTGACAGGTTATTCTGGGGCTTAAAGATCTTGAAGTTTGGCCAACATAGTTTTTGCTTCACGATTGACATGGAATACTATAAATTACATTCGTTCGAGAAGTAAGGGGGGTTTATCTTTAATTCTGGTGTGTATCGTTCTAAATGTAAGAACTGCTTTGGTGGTTATATTAATATTCGGCAATTCGTTAAATGAGAGTTTGGGAGTGATCTCCTCAATAAAGGATAAAGCACTATAAAAGACCTGAGGTGGAGCAATATTGTTTTCATTGTTGTCAATAATATTTGGGTTTGGTGAAAGAGTTGTATGTTATGGATGATGAATTGAACAAAATTAAACTTCCTCTTGAAGAGGATCACTTGGTGATCGAAACACGTGTCGAGGTTTTAAAAATAACAGTTTGGTGTTAGGATAGTAATGTTCCAGTTATATTCATTACGACATTAAATGTTCCAAACAGTGCATCACAAGTCATATTCAATATTCTGAAACAATCCCTCACTAAAAACTAGGAATAAGGCCATTCAAGTTTTTGTGTTTTGTTATTCGTTGGAAAACGAAATATATTTTCATATGAAATACTCAAATTGACGTCAGAAAACCTCAATACAGCCTTTGTCAGTTAAACATACTTCTTTTTCCAATCTGATCCCACACATTGATATACTACCCCATCATCCCCTACAAATAACAACGAACCCTTCTTTCATACCAACGACGCGAACTATAATTATAAAATATGTTTTTGTTAGAGTCTTAACACGCGAGTTTTTTAATGAGGTGTTCAGAGCTTGTATTTCGCATCTGAAGTGTGAAGTTTGGAAACAATGTTAATAGTATTAGAAGTTTGTAATTGTAAACCGGAAAGTTTTGAAAAATATGAAGCTATTTTTTGTTTGTATATACAGTTTTCAAATGTATGAGTGAAATAAAGATAGAGCCGTAGAGGAATGACCACTTTGAACAATTCCACTAGCAAGCTATGATAAGAAACAATCAGTAACCCTGTTCGGGGACCGGTGTTTTGAATATACGATTTTCAAATGATTGATAGTGATTCAACAAATATGAAGTCGAGTGGCCGGGCTATTTGACAACGACATTCTGATTGTCACAGTCATCTCTAAGGGAAAAAAAAAGGCGACACGACATGGCACGACTCGGCAAAATGAAACGAAACTACAAAATAAGACACGACAAATAACGACAAGATGAGACGACAAAAAAGCAAGACAAGACGACTCGGCACAACACGACAAAACGCCACGATACAATACTACATGACACGACTCGATACGACATGACGACTCGACGACAAGACAAGACCATACGACACAAGAGAACAAGACGAGAAGATGACAAGATACAACAAGACGACACGACACAAGACGACACAACACGACGACTGGACATGACGATACGACACAATACGGAATGACACGTCATGACAAGACAAGACATGATGACACGACACGGCATGACGACAATACACGACGATAGATGACAAGACAAGATGACACGACACAAAACGGCACGACGACAAGATAAGACTAGACGACACGACACGTCACATCACGGCAAGACAAAATGAGACGGAACGGCACGACAAGACAAGTAACGACGACAGTACAAGATGCCAAGACTAGACGACAAGACAAGACGATACGATAAGATACGACACGAAAAGACACAACATGCCAAGACAGACCAAGATAAAACAAGACACGACACAACAAAGCATGGCAAGACAAGACAAAGCAAAATAAGACAAGTCAAGACAAAAGAATAATAAATTAATTGACAGGCGTTATTGAGACGAAAGTTGAATTGGAATTGAACGCTCTAAAGATGTATCTGAAGAAATGTTTGGTACTGCACGTTCCTTTCAACAACGTCTTCATAACTGGAATTTTGTTCTCTCTAATCCTCGAAACGGTCAAAATGAACAAGAATGTGAAATATTTGAATACTTCATAAGTCTATGTGCGAATGTTGAAATAAAAATGAAAGTTATTTTTCCACTATTAACGTGTATGAGAAAAGTAGAGATTTCCATCAAAGAGCAGGTATCTGCTTTCTATATTCAATGTTTTTCCAAGTCCACTAAAAGTGTCAGTTTTCGAGTAGATTACGCGATAAATGTCTGTTGGTAGTATGTAGAAATGATTGAATGACTTTTTTAAATAAATTGGTGGAATTGATGCGATTCGGGTAGAAAATTGTATATTTTTGCAGCCATAAATAATAATAATAGTCTACCTACAGATGCTCATGGAGAATAATTATTACGTGCGTGCCGCCGTTCTTGAATGTGTGTTTGAAATGTGGATTTTATTTCTTGCAGGATTTTTTGCTTTCGTGGGTCTATTCGACCCTCCACCGCAATCCGCGAGGGTTTATTGTGGCTCACACTCGACCAAATAAACCCAGCTTCTTAACGAAGCCGATTAGTTTGTATTGTGAGGGGTCTTTCAGGTCAGATGGTAAGAGTACGGCTCTGCCGAACTCTAAAAACTTGATTCGGTCCCAGCGGGACAGACACAAAGTATGTGCTCTGCTGTTTCATCATTTTCCAAACAGAGGCGACTCACACTGTCTTCCGACAGTCCGAGTCTCTGCATATGACGATTAAAATGACAGTGATCTGTAAGAAGGCCTATTAGACATCATAGTTCATCCCTACTCCTGGTGATACTAACTAAACAAAGCAACAAATTACCTAAAAATTTTTTTTCCAGTATTCGGCCGGATAGCAGTGACGGCTCGTGCATTGGAGAACAGGGGAGGCTGAAGACATAAAGACTATATGCACACACAGAAAAGCCCGCCGGAGGCGCGAAAATTGTTTGGGGTACCGCACCTATTTAAAGCAAAATACGTAATATTTGCATAAATGCAAACAAAAATTGTGTATTGCCGAAAATTATACGTATAAAACTGACCATTAAAAAAAACAAAAGCAAGGAAAAAGGGTTGTCTTTAAGTTATTTAATTTAAATGAACTCTTCTCAGTCAATAAATAATAATACTTTTCTCTTCTAATATAACAGTTTTGCTCAAAATTGCTACTAATATTTTATAAGCACAAGTACTTAATTATGCTTCTCTTTGACATATCTAAAAACGATTGAAAGTTGTGATATACAGGTAATATCGGTAGTTTCATCAATTTCCCATGCGAAAAAAGAAACACTTTCAATCTCCTTGCTTATATTTTCCTTAATAATATATGCCACACTGTCTATAAGCTCATTTTGGATGGTTTTTGAGGTGCCCGAAAGAACGCTACCGTTTAAAAAAGTGACAAATTGGAAATCATATTTGCCCCATAACATTAAAAGTTCCTTGTTATTGCCGCGAATAATCGAATCTTCAGTTTCATCGTGTCCGCGAAAAGATAATTCTAGGGAACCCAAATAAATCGTAATATCGATAAGTCTTTTGAAATTCGACAGATTTTCTCTAACCTGATTATTGAAAGAAATTATGGCCTCTTTTTGAGCTGTATCTAAATCTGTTTCTATATTTTGTTTGCTAAACAATTTTAATTTACAAGACGAAAATATATGCTCCTTAGATTTAAAATGTCTTTCTGTAGAACGAGGTAAATTTTTCAAATCGAAGTATCCTATTTCAGACCACGTTTGGTATTCGATTTGTACGGAAAATAAAACACAGGGCTAATAAAAAAGTTTTTCTCGTTTGAAGGCGCATTAATCGTACCAACTAATATTAAATCCTCGACTGCTTTGTCGATTATCTGACGCTTTAATTGAAATCAAATTTGGTTGAGACCTTCCCAGAGTTTTAATAATGTAAAATTTATTATCATAAGATAAAGACTTAAAATTATTTGTCAGTAACCAACCGGCTATATTGTCAGATTTTTTAATATCGTCCAACTTATCCATAATAAATGGAAAAAAAACTTACCGAAAAGTGAAAACCTGAAAACACCTTGAAATTGAAAGGAAACACTTTAAAAATACATTAAAAATATTTCCAAAAAGCACTGCTATAATACAATACTGCCTGTTTTATACACAAATAACAAATATTATCAAGAAACACTAAAACGATTTACCGAAATATTTTTCAGTCCCGGTCCGTCACGGCATTCCGTCCAAATAATTACAAACGCAGCCGTACTCTAACGGAGACCAACTGGAGGCTAGCCTCCTCTAACGCTGTAATTTCTGCAACTAAAAGTACAAATCGGGACGTATGTCGCTGGTTGGATCGGGCTCGCGAAGCTTGTGTTTTTTTGAAAATTTCGGAGGCTTGGCCCCCTTGCAACGTATGGCATTTATTGTTTCGGGTTGATGGTTTATTCGTTATTCGTTCATGGGCGGTGCATTTGAGTTTTGTTGATGCAGGATACAGTGTGGTACGTACTAAGTAGTGAGTGATAGAGATAGGTACTAGTTATCCGATATTTAGGCCGCATACCAGGTGATAACCGAATATCCGTTTCATCTCTAATTCAGAACGCGTATTAGTTCGGAAAAGCTACAAGCAGCAGTGAATAAGTGAAATAGCGGCACGATTTAAAAGAGTTATTGGAATGTAAAATGTGAAATGACTTCAGACGGCTCGGTATTTACGATGCGTGTGGCCACATGCGAGTGACACGTTTTTTCCTCGCGCCTCCAGCGTGCTTGCGCGTACAGCTGCGCGCGCTGCCTCAAGCACGGTCTGCAGCCGAGCACACGGACCAGTTTAGGCTCCGGGTCGAGTCCGGGATCACTCCGCGAAGTCGTGCTCCGGGTGGCTTCTTCCATCAAAGTTACCCTGTGAGTTTCTGCTAGCGTCGCGACGGCCGATCGATCCGCCGTCGGGTCTTCAGGGAACACCTCGACGAGAGTGGAGGCGGCGGGCGCAGCGTTCAGAAGGTGCGTATGACATAAGTCTTGGGATGGTCGGGAGATAAGATCTGTGGTAGGAGTGGGTCGAGGGGTCGGGGTAGCTGTTTCGGTGCTGATTTCGCTTCTAGTACAAGACTGATATTTTTGAAGAGATCAGTTGTGATGACATCTTTTGTTCTAACGTATTTTTTTTATTCAGTAGTTCAAGAAACTGTCGTTTCGAAAGTCGGTGGAAATTTCTGAAATGCTCGTTGTGGAAATTTAAAAAAATGCTCATGCAACTGATTGAAATTCACAGCAATTTCAAACCGAAATTTAGTATAAATGATACATATAATCAGTGAATAACATTAAAAACATTACTCTTCCTGATAACTCTAAATTTATATCGTTTGATGTCCGTAACTTGTTTCTCAATATTCCGCCAATTGAAACAATTGAGCTGGTTAGAGCTCTCAGACATAAACCATGTAGATTCTGTGATTAATCAGGGAATTCCAGACTCACAGTTCAAGTAAGCGATACAGTGCAACAGCTCCCCGTTGATAATATAATTAGGGAGCTAACTTATATAAGAATCAAATAACCATAACCAAAAATCAAAACTCTGCTCTCCTTTGCCAAGCTTTCACTGCTAATGGAAAGCTTCTTTAGGGCAGTAAAAATGATCCAAAAACAAGTTGAACATATAAATTGACGAAGAAAGTTGAACATATATAGGAGATTACTTTGGGTTTGACAAATTACCTCCACATAAATTTACATTTTTTGTATTATCTTCTATATGTGAAGGTACCACATTGGTTTTTCTGCATTGAAGGAGAAAAATTCTTCTGTTTCGATAAGATGCTAGTTTCTTGCTTGTATTACTCCATTCCTTCATTGCTCTGCTGATCTGGAAACCGTAGTTGTGTTCGACCTCTTCGAAAAACCCCATGTTAGTTGAAGTGGATAATCTTTGCGACTAGAGAAATGTGTTTTTGTGTGTTTTTGGCTATTGGCCTCATCAACGTGGTGCAGCCAATTGCAAAGATGGACAACAACTGGTTACCAAAAATGAAAAACTTCACATATGTACGGTGTTACTAACAGGAGCTAACCGCACATTTTTGATTTCAATTAGAAGACCTAGCATTCCCAGGCATCATCTAACATCACCACGTAGGCAGCTATAGCTACCTGCGTGACTTCCGGGTCCAGGATATAAGTACAGAAATAAAGATGTTATTGAGTGTGTATGACACGAATCAAAAAGGGGAAAATTTGTGGACAGAACACTCAAAAAATGGAGGCAAACCGCCGGCACGTGTTTCTGGCTATTGGCCTCATCAGCGCGGTGCAGCCAATTGCAAAGATGGACAACAACTGGATACCAAAAATGAGAAACTTCACATATGTACGGTGTCACGAACAGGAGCTAACCGCACATTTGTGGCTTCAATTAGAAGACCTAGCATTCCCAGGCATCATCTAACATCACCACGTAGGCAGCTATAGCTACCTGCGTGATGAGGCTATAATGACAAAACTTCAGTGTCCGATAGATCAGGAGCATATGGGTTGATTTGTGGTTCTTGACTGTAACTTTATATCGGCCAAACGGGGGGCAGAAATCTTTCCCAAAGAATGAGAGAACACCGCGGTAGTTTTTTGAATATGAAACCAATTTCATATTTGCAAACCATCTTTTGACGAAGGAGCAAGTATGACATTTCGAAGGTGGTTTGAAACTCAATCTTTTGGAATATTTGGAAACCACTAGGTTTGAGAATTCTGAAAAGTTACTGAATGATCAAATACAATTGAATGATATCCTCCTGTTGAATCTATTTTCTAACGTTGGATCGGTAACTAGCTTATTACATGTCTAGTCAGTGAGTTTGAATTTTAGATTAGTTCTCAACTAAACTCAGATGAAATTTGTATAGTAAAAGACGTGTTACGATTTTGACTCTCTATAAAAACCCACGAGGAAGCTATTGTATAACGGAACATTTATGGCGGTTTTGTTCTTCCTATATGTTGGTTAAATCATTTATATATAACAGAACAGTATAGGACCTAATACACAGCCTTGAGGTACTCCACAATTTCTCCAACGTCTGAGTTAGATGACGTTCTTACAAATTGTTATCTATCAGAAAGGTATGAACTAATCCAAATATGAGTGTTGTCCCTAAAACCATACCTTGTGAGTTTCCGAAGCAATATGCTGTGATTGACACAGTCAAAAGCTTTGGATAAGTCATACGAAAGACCCTTTAGATTACTATTACCTTTGACGAAGGCACATAACTTCAGATTGAACTTGATGATGAATAGATATCAATTCAATTTCCCTTTCACTGATCATTGTTCTTTGCAGGTATCAACAGCGTCTCCTTCATCCCCATGTGGCACAGATAACGAACGCTTCGCTGCTAGACGTCAAATTTCCCCCAGCTGTGAACCTGCATTCTGCATGATCTATTAATAGAGAAAGATGAGGCGTAACAATTCACTACTGCATCTCAACAGATGATAGATCAGTCCGTAGTTGAATCCCGTATCTAGCAGGCCAGCGTGAATGAGGACGGCGGCTCTCTAAAGACGCGAAACAGGCGAATATTTTGATTGGAAGTCACTGTGAGTACTTTGAGGTTATTTTTTTGGAGTTGTTGACGAGTAAATTGTTTCCGTTATTGAAAGCATTACGTTGTTAGTGATTGAGAAGTGAATTTCAGTAAACATGCCACTTTTCCAGTTAAGGTCGGGTTTGATCTTGAATTTGCGCAAATAATGATACCTACTTGTTCAAGTTCACTATTTTCATTCCCCCTTTTACGAATTTGAGGTAATATAACTCATGTGGGCTTGATGGGATATCTAATAATCTTTTTAGGAAATGTAGTACTGAGTTTTCCCGTGACATATCTAATAAATTTGTTAGTTGAACAAGGGATTCTCCCAGACAAATCCAAATTCAGTATGTGGCCCCCACTCTATTGAAATCTACAGAGGACACGACACGACGACAAGATAAGACACGATGACACGACAAGACACGGCAAGACGATATGACGACCCGACACAGAAGTTTGTGAATGTGTTTCCATCACCAGATGAGGATTCACATCCCTCCACTAATGACAATCATGTTTATTCACTTCACCATTCAACATGAAAGAACTTAAGTCTGAAAAACATGTATTGTATAGTAGGTTTGGGTTATTGGTCAATGTCTTGCTGAACTCCTCACAAAACTGAAGTCGACGATCAGGATCTTCTTCGTTTAATTCCTGAACTAGCTCAATTTTGAAAGGATGGAATTTGTCGGCTTTCAGAATCCGAAATACACTACTATCTATTTGTACATGTCCTAAAACTGCACCTCCAACTCCGCCATTTCTGTCTGTAAGGAACGCTTTCGAAAGTGGACTGTATTATTGTATAGAACTAAATGGAGGTTATTTTGAACACTTTATCCGTTGATTCTGTTGCCATCGACATTACTTTATTCCAAAAACTACACCTGACGAATTGATTTCCACAAACTTCCACGAATTTTCTGTTTTTTCTTAAATATAACGTTCAGCATTTAATTTCTCAATAACGAATGAACCAATTTCGAAAAAATTTACAGAAGTAATAAAGGGACAAAAGACCTTTCAAAAGATGTATCACTCGACTTTCCCCCACGCCATTGAAAAAATAGGGGTGGTAGTTTCTCACCGCAGGGGGGTGAAGTTTCGAGTATAATTTCTATATCAGATATAGTCCCTTCAGAAATAAAAATTGACGTGTTCTTTGAAATTTTTCATTACACTTCCATTTCTGACTTACAGGGGAGTTAAGTTTTCGTTGGAACGCCCTATACAGGGTGTTTAAAATTCGATTATCACCTCTGGGATCCGGGAAACTATGAGAGATACGAAGATGGTTGAATCGGGACAATTTTGCGCATTTACTTGACTAACAATATGTCGTTGGGAAAGTTTTGAAATTCCGAGTGTATCCGGAGATATCTGGAAAAAACAGAAATTTCGGTTTTTATTTTTTCTGAAGAATTTGAAAATAAATCTGTTTGAAATCTGATTTTACGTTAATCAGCTGTCGCCCCCGTACGAACGACAACTCTCAGAAGTTGAGAAACTTGTGCGAGCTAAGGACTAACGAGGTCTTACCTTTTAACGTGTGATTCCTAACACGGTAATATTATTGAGAAATGCGCCCCAATTTAACCATCTGCGCATCTCTCATAGTTTCCGAGATCCCGATGGTGAGGAATGAATTTGAAACACTCTGTATACTTTTACAGGTATGATGAATAAGAGAAAAATAACCTAATTTATCTGTATTCAAGAACCAAAAGTTCCAAAGGAACGTGTTTGTACAAATTATAACGAAAAGTATCAATAAATTGATAAATATACTATAACAATTTTCAATTGAAGGTGATTCGATAGCAACGTCGCATTTGAAGTGACCAACGGATAATCCTCCTACCAACTCTGCAGAGGTGTACCAAAATAATATTTTTATACATTTAAACACATCGGTAATTACGTAAAAATTGTTATAGTAGGTGGCGCTACCTGGTGTCATTGGGAAAACTGATTACATTTTCTTATTATGCCTAATACAGTACTTCAAAAAACCAGAAAAATTTACAAAATAATTATTATGTTCCTTTTATATAAAAAGAGAACTACAAAGCAAAGAAATAATTACCTTTGTTATGCTCATGAAGTATCAGAATCCATTGACTCGTCCGAAGAGGAATCCCCAATCAAACTTAAATCTATTATTATTTGGTCGAAAACAGTGTCTACCATCCCGTTCAATTTCCACATTTTCTCTTCTTCCTTTATCACATGGGCTACAGCATTAGCCCAATCTTCTTTCCGTATGCGTTCCATTGCGAGTTCTAATAAACGTTGGACATCAGAAATTGTATATGTCACGTTTTCACGAGCTACGTAACCCTTAATTTGAGCCCAGATTAATTATATCGGGTTTAATTCGCAATGGTAAGGAGGAAGTCTCAAAATGGTGATGCCTTCAACACAAGCTATTGTATCCACCACATGCTGGTGATATCTATCACGATGCTGTTTAATGACACTCATAAGTTCGGCCTTAACCTTGTCCTCGGAAAATGGTATTCCTTTTTGTCCTTACCAACTCTGCATGTCTGCTTTTCTAGTGATCATAGCTGGCAGCTGTTCTACTAATCGGCGTTATTCATTACTATTACTGAATTGGACTCGACTCGTGAAAGAAGGGATTCAAACCATCCTTCAAAGCGTTGGGCGTCTATGTCTTCGTGATAATCCCCCGTTTTTTGGATGAAAAAATTATTGCACTATCGTCTAAAAAGCCACTCTCGCTACCTATATGGGCGACAATTAGTCTTTGCTCTTTACCCGTTGGTCCACGTAACCCTGTTGATAAACCGTCCACAAATGCTCGACGATAACTAGTTACAGTAGTATTTTGCCAGATCTTAGATACTGTATGACGCATTCACCTACGTTTCGTCCAGATAATAAATCTTTTTGAGAACAGAACGCATTTCTCTAATAGAGCGAAGATATCTCCGTCGCCATGAGACTATATCTTCTCTTTCTATTAAGACAGATTTACGGGATCATTTGGCATATATAAATTTTAAATCTTTCTTCATTATTTTCCTTAACTTCTCTTTGCTCATTTTGGAATGAGATCATTATCCATTACCTTTGTTCTAATGGATTCGAGGGTTGGTGCTTTATTCTCAAAAAGAGAGAATGAATGGTATAGCGTACACATTTTTTCTGGTACTCGTGCAATTAATTTTTTTTTCTACCTCGACAATGTAGTTTTGGAGCTTGCACAATCCCAGTCACCTTTTTTTCACGTACCTACAATGCGTTCAATTGTCGACACGGATATTCCCGTTAAAAATGAACACTGGGCTATAGCTTCCACTGTACGGAGTGTATTTTTAAAATTTTCGTACACTCTACAGACAATCTGTTTTTCTTCTAATGACATAAACTTCCACTTTCTTTGTACATTACTTGGATCTGCTACGGCATCCATCTTAATACTGTAAAAAAAATCAATGATATTTTTCAGCTATTTGTCAGTTGTTTACGCAAAAACTATTTTAAAGTAGATGTATTTTGAAAAACACTTTATTGTGAGATTTTCACTAGAACAGATTAACAAATCCGCAACACGTGTTTCGCTGCACAGTAGCTTTTTCAAGCGTGTTCACTAACAAACTGAATTCTACATACATTGAAATATTACTATCTACCTAGAAACTAATAATATTCTAGAAACTTATTAATGACAGTTATACCTGAGTTTAACGAACATTTATACCTGAGTTTAATTACTAGGTCAACTAATAATCCCACAATAAAGTGTGAATGTGATGAAAATCTATGATAATGTATTTTGAAGAACAAGTATCGGCCAACTCTATCTTAATATTTTAAAGTTGATAAATATAACAGTCTATTTAATAAATATAATAAAATATATTTAATAAATACAAAACAAAGTCACCTTCACAAGAAACAGAACACACTACGCCTATGCAGATGAGGACGCTTGATAATGAAGAAACCGAATGACTAGTTATGGCATTTTAAGGACGCAAATATAATAGACCTGCGAAGTTTTGATCAGTTTACCGAGGTTTCAAAGTATTTAACGAACTGGTTCACCTATTCGCTCGTACATCCTATCGATATGCAGAAGCTATCTTATTACGGGGGGCAAATTTTACGGAATCATCTTACTTTTCAATTATTCACAATAGCGATGCACAGACAATGAAAATGACCCCGGTAAGAATTTAGTTCTAACATTTAACATTGTTGCCGTTAGCTCTCAGTTCAATTTGTATATGAGTTACCTTCAATTGAAAATTGTTATAGTATATAGTATAGGATATAGTATATAGTATAGGTAGCTGATAATATTTTTAGTGAACTTCAACAGAAACAATTTGGAAACTGTAATCACGTCGAAAATAACGAACAAATTATTGTAGGAATAAAATACAGGACGTTTGGCAATATGGGCACTCCTTCAGACAGCCCAGTGGAGGAGGTTATGTTCGAGATTGAACCGTCCAGGGTACCGAAGCCTATACCCGTGGCCTTGGAGGATCTTTGCAGATTGACCAAGTTCACCAGGCAGGAAATTCGGATCATGTACAGGGGATTCAAAACGGTGAGTTATTGCACGTATTTTTATAAGAATAAAAGGAATAAATCTTCATTCATGAGAAATATACAGCGTGATAAAACTCAAGTGCCGACAAAAACGAGGCACCCAGTGTATTTCTACCTTGATACTTTGCCAAGTGGCTTCTGGACTCAAAATATTCTTATGAATTTCATCCTAACACGAAAAATAACGGAAGTATGCGCCTTTCTCACTTTTGGTCAAGTTTGCCACGAAATTTCTATATCAATTGATTCAAAAGATCCAATTAAATTCAATAATGAAAATAATTATTACTCTCCTAGTGCTAAATTACTTGGTCTTATTCTAGATGAAAATGTATCATGGAGAAAACACATTGAAACAATAAGACAAAAAATAGCTCCCATAATTGGAATTTTATTCAAAATAATAAAGGTTGTACCTCTTGAATACCTTTAATTGATTCATTTTTCATTAGTATATTCCAAAATTCAAAGAAAAAAAATCATTTCAAAAATGAACTGCGTACAAAAATGTGTATATTTTGAAATCAATTTTCTTTTTTTCCTTTCTCTGGAAGATTCCTACATTTTTTGTACGATGATGAAGAAGTAGAAAGCCAAAATTTTTCTTCCCCCAAAATTAATCTCTTCTAAAAATATTCCCCTTTCAAATCAAACTTTCATGTGAAATTATCGTATAACAATAACGCTTTGATTTCTCACTTATATCGACTGGAAATGACTGTCAAACAATCAATTATCAATGTGATTGACTTATATTTATCTTGTCTAGATTACTTACAGCTTCATGTCCAGCGTAAACTTCTCGACTGACAGCGTTTGTTACCTAACAAGTTGAAATATATTATTCCATCGTTTTGTTCATTGTGTTAGTCCAGTGAAAATAGGAGTGCATTTTTTTCTGACGTCAGTACAGACGCTGATTATTAAATCGTAATAAAACTTTTCTCACTGAAATTGTCGGTGTAGATAATATGCAAAAACTTCTTACATGACGTCAATTAATTCAGATACTAATTATGACTGAGAATTATCCTAACCCAACGCCGTACAAAAACGTGACAGCAAAAAAGGAAAAAAATCATTTTTGGAAAAGTTACCCCGAAATACCCAGGTGAGGCTTTCATAAAATTAGTTTTTTCACAATAAGGTTATTTATATTGATATGGCGTAAAAATTGGAGGGTTCGTGTGATATATGCCCCCCTAGACTTTGATTTTTGTACGGCTCTTAGTCAACCAAGAAGGATATAAACATTTATGTTGCAGATTAAGCATTTCTCAGTAAGAGATTTATTTGTAACTAAAAATTAGTGCTGTTTCGTCCTATAAGGTCATTTTCAAACTTATACATTAAACATTATACCTTTTCACATACATTTTGTCCAACGTTGATATTCTGGTCATGATCAAAAGTTGAGAAGGAGGAAGCTTTTTGCATCTGTACTATATTCAGTTCATTTATGAAATTATGGCTATCGAAAACTTGGCATCTTATTGGAAGTATTGACTGGACTAAAAGTTTTCATACAAATGCTATGCTCTTTTTCACTATAATTTGTATATAATATTTGAAAAACTCTTTTAAGATAACTGTGATCTACTCTGTATATGAAAGAAAATCATTTAGTAACTGAACAAAAATTCGTTTTCAGATACCCACGACATAACAAAATAAATTTCCAGTTATTTATTAAGATCCCAGGAAAGTTTCAGTATGGCTGCGTGAAGTGGAATATCCAGCCATTCTATTTTAGTAAATGCTGTTTTGAATGTACCATAAAATCAATTTTCTCAATAATTAACTATGAATCATCAACTTAGTTACTTTCATAATATGGAATATAAACGATATCAGTAAGTGAAAGTGATGGAGATTTTTTACAGCTCAGAAAAAATATATTTCTGAAGTTTGTTTGTGCTGGAGATTCAAGCCTGGAAGCGAGAAAATTTCCAATGAAAATACATTGTGGCATAGTTATGAAAAAAATACGGTTTAGCAGGATAGAACAGAGTGGCAAGAATACATATTATTATAGTTTTGCGTCCTAACAGAACTGCACATCTCCTAATTGAATATACTCGTATGTGATTGAAGACTTAATAATTTATGATTTATGTATTGGAGAAATTAAAGTCATTTTAACGACTGAAAATCTTTTAACTATCAACAGACTCATCTCATAAGCAAAGCTCCAAGCGGAGCTTGCATCTGCAAGAACTAACTCTTTGTGGAAACTTGCACGATATCCGTCGTGGTTTAGTCGGGAAAATAGTCGTATTCCGATAGACCTTTGCTTTATCCTATTGCGTAGGAATGTTGGGGAAGGGAATGTTTCCAATTTTCATTTCGAAATATTTCCTTTTGTCGTTGTTCAATTGTTTTTTTAATTCATTGATCGAAATGTCACTGCTAGTTTGGCATCACTTCTGTTCCACTTCTGTCAAGAGTCTTGACTCTTGACAGTCGGATAACTTCAGAAGTCCCAATAAATATAGCACCTTAAGGATTTTCCTGTAGTGCTTGTTTTCTGTCCTTAAAAAAAGTTAGGTTAACTCGCGGATCTCTGGCAGCAATGGATTGGGATTTGAAGCCCTTTTTATGCCCCATTTGATGAGCATTTGGGAGAGATTTCCCCACTCAGTGACTTGAACATTTTGCAGTCGTTTCCAGATCAAAATTTGTCTCCCTCACAATCAAACTTGAAGTACACCGTATGTTCGAGGATTCTACCAAATCGAACAAATTGGAAACTTACCCTATTCAAGATGAGATGATACTATTGATTTGTTCCAGCATCAGCAGTTAGACAAGTTCCCAAAACTCGATCAATCAGACGGAATGAAACTCTGCAAATAAACTATTTGCGAACACATATATTACTGGAACCCATGCCAAGATCGTCTATCTTTCGCCAAGGGGATGAATATAACTCAAAAGAATGATGTAATAAAATGCCTCCAAGTTCCTAAGAAAAGTGGTTTTATCTGAATCGCAACAATTCAACGAAAGGTCTCGTTTGGAAATTGATACAGTTGTTAATCTTGGGAAATGTTTTTGGGGTTTGTGGGTGAGTCAGCTGGGAACACTGCAAATGAGTCAAGGTCAATGGCATAAATGATTACCATGGTTGTTCCCCGTGGCTTCGCCCACGTAGAATTCAGTTTGTCACATTAAGTTTCGTGACAGACCAGAATATTTTTTTATTAACCCAAAGCTTCAGGTTTCCAACTTCAATAGTAACAAAATTCAATGCAATCTTTAACTACCTAGTTTTCCCCCTTGGGGGTGGATATTCCTGATTTCCTTTCTTGATGCTTATTTAGGTTATACAAAGAACCTACCTGCATATTTCAATATTCTAGTTCTTGCTTCATACTCTTTTAGGCATAATCCGCATGTTAGTTTGTACACACTTCGAAAAATCAAGTTTGTGCCAATAATCATTGATTGCAGGTATAATTCTGTTACTGGGGGTCCCCGAATTTTCAAACGATTTCAAGAACTGTAAGTCTGAACAAATTTATTTCATTCTCAGGATCGAATTTACGATTTAAATATACAGTCCACTGTTCTCTCGACACAATCTATTGAAGTGGTTGCTAATACGCAACAACCACTGAGTTATTAGTGGTCTTGTAGTGGTAGAAAATCTAGAGTTGAGTGTTGAGAGAATAAAAAAAGATCTGGACTTATCGAAATCTCATAATATTGAAATCCTCCTACCAGTATAGTTCAAGTTAACGATATAGTGCAACCTACCTACACCTAAACCTTCGTATAAGTGAGTTCGCATCCAAATTTGGGATCAATGTCTTTTCAAACCATTCCTCGAAAATATTAGCTTCTATGTTATTATGCAGATATTGCAGTCCTCGAATTTTTTTTCCACAAAATTTGTTTGCAGGCATGTTAGGCGTACACATTCTCGAACCATCAGGTCACCTTTTCTAAATGTGTCGTGAGTGTCATATCAAGTTTCGTCCAAACAGAAAATTTGCCGTTGTTCTTGTCTATATTCAATTATTTTCTCTAAGTATTTATTCTGCTTTCCATAACTGCTTGACGTTTGTTTATTACTTTAAATCTGAATTCTAGTTTCTTCATCTAATTCTGAAGAGTTTTGTCACAGCAGCTCACGTTCTCACGGAAGCGCAGAAGGGCCACATATTTTTATTGTTTGTTTCTTGGAAATTACGACTTTATTCTCAAAATTTCGACTTTTGTCTCAAAATTTCGACTTTAATCTCGTAATTTCGAAATTTCGACTTTAAACTCAAAATTTCGACTTTAAACTCAAAATTTCGACTTGTATCTCGAAATTTCGACTTTTATCTCGAAATTTCGACTTTAATCTCATAATTTCGAAATTACGACTTCAAACTCGAAATTTCGACTTTAATCTCGAAATTTTGACTTTAAAGTCGATTTTAAACTTTTCTATTCTGGTATCATAAAAGTATTCTCAAAATCCAAATATGATTCGAGGGCCGCAACTTCAAAAATTGGGGGTTAAAAGTCAAAAAATTCGACTTTTTGCAAGTTTTTTGCCAATATCTCGTTTCCAATGAGTTTTATGCTAATTGTATTCATCATCAATATTGTAGAGAATTAAATTTTCTACAACTTTTGTTTTAATGAATAAATTAATAAATGTCGACTTTAAAGTCGAAATTTCGAGATTAAAGTCGAAGTTTCGAGATAAAAGTCGAAATTTTGAGTTTGAAGTCGTAATTTTCGAAAAACAAATAATAAAAATATGTGGCCCTTCTGTGCTTCCGTACATTCTGGCCGGAAGTATTCAATTTCTTCCTTATGATTTCAGTTGTAGGACTCTCATTACATACAGTCGTATATTGTTCTCTTCAATGATTTTATTAGATGAACATCTGAAGGTTTTGGTAATCCTGTATCACATTGCGTCTTGCGTTCACGAGGTTTGTTTTCGACTATTGACTATATTACATTGGAAAAAGTCTGCCTTGTTATCACACTCGTTAT